GAAAATAATCCTAATATCATATTTAAGTGTATACAGAATTTAGTTTTTAGTTCATTTGTGTAGGATAAGGTTTAAAACAGCATGCCTCCAGAGTCATGCTAATTTTCATGAACTTTTTTAATAGGTTATATATTTAAAGGTAAAAAATATTGTGAAGTGAGCAAAGAAAGAAATTTACACATTGCAAACAGCATCAGTATGACCTTGCTTTGAATTGAATGGACATTTAAGGGAGATAATAGACAACTTTGTAAATGTAAACATTAAAAAATTTAAATAAATAAAAAAAAACCCTTAACAACACAAACTCAGGTTACAGTTCATTTATATGTCGGGGCAACGAAAAGAGATTTAAAGTTAAGAGGAAAATCAAAAATCAAACCTTAATCAAGAACCTGCGACTATGCATTTAGAAAACATGGGCTTTTACACTGCAGTCAGTTTTAGTCCTATAAATTCCAACAGAATTTGTTGATATAGCCTTGTTCAGCCTTGGATTTTTTGATGTTCAAGTTTCTTTAAGAAAATTTTGATAATATAGCTGTTTATGTTAATGTTTTGTCAAAATACTGACATAAGATTGGAAGTTTGCACAGAAGAGCAGGTGGATTATATAAAGCTTAGTTCTGTACAGCTGCAGCCACTATTTCTCTCTGCAAGATTTCAAAAGGTCAAGATTTAAATAGATTTTTAATGTTATATATTGTTATAAATAAATTTTTAAAAAAAGCTGTATGTTAATTGTTATATTTATAGCAATCATATCTCACGTCTACATCCTACTGTTAGAACATCAACCATTTGCTGTTTTAGATAGAGCATATATATTCTTGACATTTTCTTAATCTGGCCAAGAAACAGGTTTTACTTCAATGTGACTATTCACTATTGATCTAAAAATAGCCTCTTTCTCTTTTTTAATGACAATTATTTTGAAAGGTTTTTAATGGTTTGTTTTGGATTAATGCCTATTTGTGACAATAGTTTAGTCACATATGCCATTTTGTGCAATTACAGCATTTGAGGGTTTCTGGAAGGACTATATCTCTGGCATTAAACTATGTTTATTGAACCTTAATTGATCTCTGCATGAATAAGCAATGAAGACAGAAAAATTGCCATATATCATGTCTAAAATGCAGCTAGATGATTTTTGGAACACAGTTCAGGATTTAAGAAAAGAAATTTCACTGACTGATATATTACATGTTATAAAGACAGTTTCGAAGAAATTTAAATGGTAACACATGTATTAAACCCTTGGTAGTCATTCTTAAAGTCATTTGTCTTGACAGGTCGAGAAATTTAAAAATTGTTCCATTTGATGTAGGTTTAGACCATTGAAATTAATTGTGTTCAAAATTTTTAATAATTGCCCACTCTGTTTTTTCAGAATAATTCATTTATTTGTGAAAACTGACATAAAATTGAAATGCTTTTCACTCAAATTAAGCTATTCCTGAATGGGTATAGTAGAAGAAATTTGACTGCCTGAGCTTTGGCTTTTATTTAGTGCCTCAGAGCTTTTGAATGTTAAAGTGTCTCATCTTTAGGAAGTTGTGTCTGAGCTTTTGGAAGTAGTGCCTGCAGTGAGCCTTTGGAGGTTACATATAATTTTGTACTGGCAAGCTTTTGACAGACTGTGCTGTGTATGTAAATAAACGTATGTTCGGCCATGGGTGAAAGTTTTCAGGATTATTCCTGAATTCAAGATTTTCAGTCTCCTGAAAGCCTTCTATTTCCTATGTAAAACTATAGAAAAACTGCTAAATTCAGGATTTTCAGGATTTTTAAAATTTCCAACTTTCACACATGTGTTCCTAGATTTTGCACCTTATAGAATTTGAATGATATTGAAATTGTTTGTACTGCACTTGATGTACCGGTACATGCAAAATTTAACGTAATTGTTTTGGTAATCTCTTATCTGTTACATTATCATCGTTTAATATCAACACTTATATTTACATTGGGGGTAAAATAGGTTAGTAATTTCTAAATTCATCCATTTCAGTAATTTAAAATGTTAAATGGTGTTACTAGGTCAAATCAAAATAAGGTCACTGTTTGTTTATTTTAAGATATCCGATCATAACATCACATTATTGTAAAAAATGTACATGTACTATGATAAATTATGTTGTGTACAGTAATCAGTGTAATATTGTTATTAATTTTAAGTCATTTATACATGTACACATGTAGCTGACTGTCATTGGCATTTAAATTTAGTTGTTTTGTTATAATTATAATCCTTTAAAATAAATATCACACTAAATCTTAAATTATAAGACCTAAGCAGTCTTAAAATCTGGCCAAAATTGGCCCATTGATAATTTTTAGCAAAAATTTCAAAATACAGAATGTGCAGATTTAAATCTCTGTTGCCACCAGTAGACCATGGGGGAATGAAGCTTAAACATTGTTTTTGTGGGGGGGGGGGGGTGAAGGGAGGGAACATTTTTTGTTATTGTCAATTATAATATCAATGAAAATTTTAGACATTAATATTTGAAATATTTTCAACATGGCAAGTATTTTAACTGATTTGGATAGACCATGCATATAGATTACACTTTATAAGACTTAGTATGGGTCATGTGACCGTGGCGACTGACAGTTATTAGTTGATATCTGAATTGGCAAGAATTTTCTTTTAGGTGAGTTCACACACCTTAAACTTTTTCACTTTCATTGAAAATGTCTTAAAGGTACTTGGAAAAATATGTGTAAAGAATAAGTGCGAAGATGTAATTAAGATGTATTTCTTGTCTGTTAATACGGCTATTTAAGATGTACTTGACGTCACATTTGGCGATTCTGATAAATGGCTAATTATTGTTAGCCAGATATGGCAAAGCTGAATTATGGCATCGAAAGTCTGAAATGGCTGAATCAGCTGATATAATTATAATAGCAATGTAAAATAAGAAAACCAGCATAAACTACATATTGACATGAAATTAGTTTTAAGTCATATTAAGCAAAAAATAGAAAATACAATTTTTTATAAAAAAAAAAATAAAAAAAATATATATATTAAAATGAAGAATTATAATCTACAAAATTAATAAAGTATTTTGGAATTCATGCCATCAGGAATAATTGTACCTAGCTTATACATCCATGAAGTTTCTTTTAATAATCTTTGCCAATTATTCTTTACTTTATCAATTGGCATAAATGAAAAATCTTTGATAGAATGCCCTTCAGAATTAAAATGTTCAGATACATTGGTAATAGTGTCAGGAAAGTGTTTAATATCAAATTTGTGGCTATTCATTGACGTCATTTCTTGTAAACAAAGTATACCTGATGAAGACTTTTGAGTCGAAACGTTGTATATTTTTCAAATGAAATAATTACATTTTTAAATTGAAACTGGAGTTGATTTCTATATTCAAACTTAAATTAATACTGATATAATTATAAAAGCTGAACAATGAAATGCACTTTTTTTTTGACTGTCAACTGTCTCAGTAATAATTTATAATCTCTGAATATACTATTATAAATAATTGATGATTTTACCTCATCAAAGTAAAGACACTGATATTCCACAGGTCATTCGTCTGTGTTATAATATTGGAAGTTTTCTCATCACCCTTTAAGGGAAATGTTTCTCCCAGTAATTGTGGCCGTGAACTAATTATAGGCCATGTGACAAGAAGGATAGTAAACACATTGCACGTGACTCGCTGAGACATTGAAAGTATACGATAATTGTGAAGTATTATAAAACGTATCTCATTGACTCACATATTGTAAAATGTGTTACCATTGATCAGTGTTATATTAAATTTGATCAAGTAATGATGTTATAAAAAGGAGTAACGTTAAAATCAGGAACTAATTAATATATAGTGACAATTACTTAATGAAGAGCCAAGTTTTAGGTAATGTTTTAAATAAAAAAATTTCAACTGGAATTAAAATACATAAAACGTATTCATCAGCTATGTTTATCTATTGGAATACATTATGATGTTTTTATTTCACATCTAATTAAAAATATAACCAATGAACCTTCAGTGTTTGAACCATGTGATGTTCCATTAGAAAGGATTTTTGGTTCCAATCATATCAATTTAGCCTCTTTTCTGTTTTCAGAGTAAAAAATATCCATATCAAAATGTCTCGTTTTCAATTTTCAGAGTTTAAAATATCTATGTAACATCCATATCGTACTTCAACTTGCCTTGCTTTCGTTTTAAAGTAAAAAAAAACAAAAAAAACCATTTCTAACTAATTATTGTACTTGATGAAACAAAATTGTTAAAAAATGAAAGTGTGAAATAAAGAGGTCATTAAATTTACATTGTTGATAACATTATTCTGATTCTGTTGGACTTGAACACAGTCTTGACCCTCATTCAGTACAGGTTTGAGAGCTGTGTAGTGTGTACTCATCCAATAGAATTCAGTATTGTACTCAACACAATGTATGAAAATTAAACCTCATATTATTAATTCTACATGTATTGTTTGCTTTCTCGAGCACATTTAATATTGTAACAGGCCTAATATCCCAAAAACATGTCTGTTTGAATTTTTAAACTTTAAAACTATGCTAGTTGGCGTACAGTATGCAATTGATATAGATGTTTGGACTCTGAAAATGAAAACTAGGCTACTTGGAGTACAATATGCAATTGATATAGATGTTTGGACTCTGAAAATGAAAACTAGGCTACTTGGAGTACAATATGCAATTGATATAGAAGTTTTGGACTCTGAAAATGAAAAAAGGCTAAATTGATAAGATTGAATCAAATAATTTGATTTCTATTGGAACATAATAAATGTGATGCAAACACTGACATTTCATTGGTTAATATTTTATTAAGTGTAAAATAATGTATTTTATTTCAGGCCTTTTAAGATATTTGTCTGTATATCCTGTCATTGGGCACTTTTAATTAGACATTTTTGAGCTGTAAATGGCATTTTTAAATGAGTTACATGTATAATACTGTTTTCTGTTTTGTTATTTTTTTCAGAGCTAGTCCTGTCCATTGCTATGGAAGAAAATGTTAAAAAACCTGTTGAAAATGTTAATGAACAAGATGTACAACCAAAACATGTCGGAAGGTATGTATCTTATATCATGATCAATATTCCAGAAATCAAAAGCTACTTTAAAGTAATAAAGCTCAACTTAAAGGCTACAATTTAAGCTGTACTGTGAGCAAGCCTTATTTATGTTAAGTATCTAGAGCATTTGATATAAATGCACCACATCACCAGTGGCCATCAGTCAAGACTTAATGTCCACAGTCTTCTTCACATGGTTAAATAAGCAGGTTAGAAGGCATAAAAATCTGTTTAAAATATTTGAGCCGTGTCATGACAAAACTAACGCAATGGGTTTGCGACCAGCATGGATCCAGACCAGCCTGCGCATCTGCGCAGTCTGATCAGGATCCATGCTGTTCACTTATCAACTCTATTACAAGTGGAGAAACTGACAGCGAACAGCATGGATCCTGATCAGACTGCGCGGATGCGCAGGCTGGTCTGGATCCATGCTGGTCGCAAATCCACTATGTTGGTTTTGTCATGACACAGCTCATTTGGGGTATGTTGGCAGGCAGGCAGGCTGATGAACGGCTGAGGCAGGTAGATTAGAGGTAGTGAACAATTTCTTCTCTGCACAACTCCAACATTTCTCATGTGATTCTGACATTATGCTTGGGGAATTTTTGTCATAAATTAATATCTGTTGTCCCAATCGAGCCTGCCATAGGAGGGATAATTTACAATCCAGAATAACCGTCCCAAAGGAGTTAATGCCTAAAGTATATTACAATATGAACCACAAACATACATTTATTTCTTGTGTATTGTACCATATTTTAAATCTGCCCGGGTTTACCCCAAAAAATAATAATTATTTTTTTTATAAACCATCCTACAACTTTACTTTATATTAGTAGCATATGAATTTACATCTTTATTCATAATCAAAAATAAAGTCATCCAAAGTACAAAGGTCATAGTTCATTCGTAAAATTATGTCATTTTGAAGTCAATTGCTTAATTATCTGGCACCCCCATATTCTAATGAAAATTCTATCTTTTGTGATACTTAAACAGAAACACCTGAGTTTGATTTGCTAGAAACTGTCAAGAAAGATATGCAAAAGATTATTGAGAAATATACTCAGAATCAAATTAAAAATCATATTTTTGTGCTATAATTAACCAGATTTGAGTGAAAAGTATTGCAACCCTAATCAACTTTGGATAATTTTTCACAATTAAGAGTAATTATTCTGGGTAAAGGGAGTGTGTAAATGATCTGAAATTTTGGACACATGTTACTTGTCTAGACCTATACATCAAATGGAACATTAATCTCAGAAAAATTATTTCCAGTCCCGTCATGTCAAAAAAAAAAAACTCAGTGGAGTCCCTTTAATAACACAAACAAAATGTGCTTTCTCCAAAAAGTTGTTACTATTATTAAGGTATTTGCAGTATGTCATATGACTTCAGTATGCAAAATAGAAGACAATATCGCACCTAGTACGTAATAATAGCAATTCGAATGCAGAATTGCTCATTTATCTACGTATTGATCTGTTGATATCAAAAAGTCACATGGCGGAAACATATGCCTGATAGTGGGTCATGGAATTTAATACACTATAGGGAAGGAAATGTTTTTTAAGATTATATTCAATGCCAAGAATTCTTCACTGGATAAAGTTGAACTATATTTGGGTGGAAATTAGAATTTGATACATTAATAAAGTGGTTAACTGAATCTTCAAACTGAATTAAGCATCAAATGGAATTATAAATGAAAGGGTAAATATTGGCTAATAAAATTCAAAATTAATATATTTGTTCTTCAGTGTAAAAGATGAATTGTAAAATTTGACAAGAAAAAGGTATTTTAGTACTGTTATTAAAATGATAAATGTTGCATAAATGTGTTTACAATGAAATTGAAAAGCTAGTGATATTAATTAAGTATATATCAAGTTATGTTTAACTTTTTACCATTGCTGTCAGCTGTTTACGTTATGCAGTCTCATCAAGATCAGCTGTGACACATTTGTGTAGTCTTCTCATAGTCTAATTCAATGTTCGCTGTTCAGTCAGTGCATATCTTTTAAATTTTCCCTACAATTAATGAATGGTTTGGTCCAGATTGAAAGATGGGAAAGTCCACTTAGGATTATAATTATCTAGTGTGGCCTGAAGATGACCGGTCTTAAATATTAATGCTTTGAATTTGGAGCCTTAGATAACATTTCGAAGTGTTTCCATTAAGAAAAAAGTCAGAATTGCGATACAGTCAAAGGTACATACAGAGTGGCTAGTTGGGCTGCACAGTTGTGTGGGTTTTAAGTTTGGGCAAATGAGGCATGTACATAGTGACCGGTCAGACTGCATTGATATTCAGACTAGCCTTTTCTCTGGTGGCAAATGTTTAAATCACTCTTGGTTTTGGCAGGGTTACGAGTTAGAGTTAAGTTCAAAGTGAAAGAACATGTAAGCCAGTCTGGCTCTAAACGGGCAGTATTTAGGCTTTTGAAATGCCACATTTTTATAATCTTTTATGATAAGGTTTATCAAATTTAACTTATATATTAGTTGCTCTTACACTTAAGATAATGTAAAAGCCTCCTTATTGTGTCAGGTTGACTTTTGATTACGTAAAGTGATATGAAATGTCCATTTTCTGAGGAAAAACAGCTGAGCTATTGTTATAAAATGACTCCTCATTGACAGCAAACCTTTGTGGTTAAGTTTTGGATCATGGTCCTTTAACTTTAATACATAGTGCTGTTACATTAAAACTTGTTCTACATGTCACACCCATTTTTAGGCAGGTCAAGGGTACAGGTCTCTGGTGTTGTGATAGCAAAACATAAAATTGGTCATAAAATCAAAGCACATTGACCTGAGAACTTACATTCATTATGATGTCAGTCCGACCCACAAACCCATTTTTGGCATTTTATTCTTAGGTTATACTTAAACAATTTATTACTTCATAGCCTGTGCTCACAGTTAACTATAAATAAACCAAGTCTGAGAAGTCCAAGGTTTTGGCATGTATCAATACTTGGACTTTAATTTTCACCTATTTAATAATTCTCCACTTTGATGCACTTTTAAAAAATTATAACTTCAAATCACTTTGAAAAATTATAACTTCAAATCACTTTGAAAAATTATAGCTTCAAATCACCTTGAAAAATTATATTTTTAGAGGAATGTTTAACTAATTTAAGCAAGTTGCATTACTGCAGTCTAAAATTAATACTGTCTGAAGTTAATTTATTTTGATCATGGTCTTTTGCTTATTATTTTTTTAAAGTCTATTGACCTACTTAAATAAGCTTTGTATAACACAATTTTTTCCTTTTCATTTTTTTCGGGCTTAAATTTCATTAATGATAAGAATTCTCGTTAGAAATTATGTTTAAATGAAAAATGCTCGTTGCTTTAAATTTAAGACGTGAAGTAAGCATATTTCCATTAAGTGTGCTTTGTCTCTGATTGTTACCCCTGTTGCGAGCTGACAAGTAAAACTGATGACCTTGTAACACGATCATGTCAAGTTCAATAAAAAGTCTCGTCTACGAGGTCTGCCTAGAAAATTTAAATGTGAGCGAGATGCTTCAATTGTTCAATGTCACGGCATTTAATCATAAATATTATACTTAATTTAACTGCGTAATAATTTTTGCAGGTAGATTGTCCGAATGACCTGAGAAGGTGTTTTTTTCCCCTGATTTTAATGACGAAATATGGAAAATGATCCTTCCTTTGAGGTTTTTAATATACATTTGATGGCATTAGGTACTGAGCTGTCATTTCAAATAGTTATTAGTTTATTATCTCAGATGTTCTTTAGAATTTTGACCCATATTCAGTTTTAATGGGAAATGTAATTGTTAATGCACCTTAAATTGAACAAACTAGGCCTATTATATCTGCTCTTGAACGTTTACCAAAAAGTCATATTCTATGTAAATGTTTTGAGTTAAGAGATATACCTGTGCCACCACTAAAAGTAGTGAATTTGAATGTTGTAGTAGAAATTAAGGTAATTGAGAGATGTTTTCATTTTTTTTCAGCAATTGGAAACCCAGAACTGGGCAAATAGAAGATAAAAGGGAATCAAGCTCAACCTCCAGGTATGATTTGCATTCAAATTAGAAAAAAAAACTTTATTCAGAGAACCAGTCTTAAACCCTACCTAGGGATTGGTTGATTCCAATCACATGTCGAATTCTGACCAATGAAAGGGTTTCTTTTTCAGACTGGTTTTCAATGTCTGTTTTAGAGCTTTTGACCTTGTTATTTATACTTCAAAAATAGAATATTCATGGCAAAGGTTAATCTTGTTCTGTGCCAGCAGAGTAAGGGTTTAATGTTCTTTTTGTTAACACTGTTAACCATGCTTATCAACATTTTAGAACTACATGCAGGAGAATATAGAAAATAAATTCTTTGGCCACTAGCTAATATGCAAAAGTTTACATACCAGAAACATGGTTTATATAGAAAAAAAAGTTACATATTATATTACACACATGTGGTTTGATTGCCTGGCTAAGCTATGAGGAGAATTATTGTTCCTTTATGAAGTATATAAAAAGATTAATGAGAATTTCTTAGTTTAAAAGCATTTATGATCATATTTTTAATGTGTTATCATTTCAGTTTCTTCAGTGGCAGTAATTTTACTATGTCCTGTAGCGGGGTTGACACTCAGGAGGAGAATGAGCCGTCTACTAGTGGGTGCAGGTAAGGTACTCGGTCATACCATATAATAGTTAATTATGTAACTCGGAAGGTAGAACTATCCGTGTTGCTGTAAGGTCCTTATTGTTAAAGGTTTGAATCTCTTTAAGGTCCATATTGAGAAAGGTTGGAATCGTGCTTAGGGTAACGTATTCTTTCATGAGAGGAAACTCTCCAACTAGCTAAAGGAAGATTGAGGGTTTTATTCAACCTCCAGGTTACACAGTGAAGTTTACAGTGTAGAGTGGGCATAAAAGTGAATTAAGAAGAAAAAATCCATACCTGTCTTAGAAGTGGAATGTGACTTACTCTCAAAGCTTCCTGAGTTGGGGGTGACAGGGAGGAGCGAGGTTCAAATCCAGTCATTGAATATATGCATGTAGGGAGTCCGTCCAGCTGGGTGTGTCAGCCATAAAGTACCTGATTTATGTATTGCATAGACAGACTTAGATATCTGATTATTTCTTCAGCCTGTAAAGCTGAAAAGTTGACATATGAATTTATCTTTGTTTGCGTAACTCAAAACCAAAGGAAAAGGATTATAAAACAGCAAAAAAGTTGATAATTATAATGGCTATTGATTATTTTGTTTTGAACAGTGTCCTGTGTCAGAATACAATTAAAATGATTAGTGTAATTACATCTCTAACTGGACTTTTTGCATTGATAGAAATAATTATGTGATGAAATTGATGAGAACAGCAAAATAAGACTCACAGTAACTGTTAATGCTTGGGATATAAGACTTACCAAAGTACTTTATAAAACTGTACAAGGAAAAGGTAGATTATTGAATCGAATTAAGTATTCCTAGCTCAACTGTAAATAATCAAGAAAATTGTATAAAAACTGTAAAAAAAAAATCTGATTTAATACAGTTGTTGACATTTTGTTCCCATATCATGCCTGAAAAATGCACAAAGTGACACCTTGGGTCTTCCATAAAAGTTCATAATATGATGTTTCTAAAAAGTTTATAGAGTTCATTAAATATCATTTCTATAAACGAGTTCATATATGACTTTAATAACAATTGTAGTGTAAGAAACACAACTAAAAGAAACAGAATTATTACTAAATGTACATTCCAGTATATGTCATGCTTGACCTGAGAAGTCTGACTCGGACTTGCTGAATACCTAAAATGGACTAGTCCAGCTTCCATTTTTGGAACTGTCCATTATCAATTTGAGGGATATCAAGATGAAAATTTCAGGTGTATGAGTCAACAGTATAGAGCCTAGTCAGAATACATGTATATGCAGACTGGCCTGGCTCTATACTGGTGGCAAATCACTTTAGTACCTTCAGGTTAAGACTAAAAAATTGAAAATAATAAATGAAATTAAAAAACAAAATGTCAACAACAAAAGATATAATCTTGGATTTTTCTTTCTCCATTATGACTTCAGATAAGTGAAGGTGATTTAACAGTATTGAATTTTATCATAAAAGTTATCATCTAAAGTTATGTATGAAAATTGAAACGTAGTTGTTAGACCACAAGCTATTTGTGAATAAGTCTACATATTACATTTTATTTCTAGAGAATTCTAAAGCCATGTCACTTCTAAAGACATGTTATTTTGTTCTTGGAAATTTACTGTTATTTTTGCTCGGCTTTATTACTTTTATTCTATCGTGTTACATTTCTGTACACTTTTCATTCTTAGACTTTATCAATACCTGTCAATATTGTAGGAATGAAGATAAAAACTTTCCTTCACTATATAATGTAAATTTATATAATATAAATATTTGAGCCCCCATCTGCCCCCCTCCCCACACACACTTTCCATGGCTCTCTCATTGTCCCCTTTGGCCATTGGAAAAACGACTACTCAAACCTTTATACTGCAGTCATACTGTATTCTAGTTAAATATAAAACATTTAAGTTCACTTCAAATTGATGCTTGAATAATGTTAATGATTTCTAAGTTTTATCAATTTAGTATTTCTTTAATTGCTCCTCTAGCATAATGTCTCCATTTTTAGCGCTATTTTTGGAACGTTACACAATTAGTGTATTTCTTTCTTTCTTGGAGTAGATTGTATAGTTATTGATGTCTGATTCACTATTCTACATTTATAGCCACCAACAATTTATGTCTTGTTGTCTGATGTAAGAGACATTTCATTTGTATCCATAGCTACAAAGTACGTGTTTGATTTAATGATTTGAATCAGTGTAAATACTGCTATTGCGTCATTATTAAGCATGAATATTTCTCAAGTATTTGTCTTTTATAAAAACAAGAAAAGTTTACATTATGGTTAGGAATATGATAGCCAATAATTTCTCTTTATTGAATTAAAAGTGTGTGGGTCTAGAAGGGAAATTTTTCATAATTAACTCCAGAAAAAAACAACATTGTTTTACATACCATGTTAATATTTAACAACATAATTATTTTTATTAAATTGCATGGGTATAAGAATTTTAGGATTTTCTACTTTTCTGACTTTAATAAGCCCTTGGGTACTGTGTAATGAAATTCAGGATTGTTGAAAATTCCAGCTTCTGAGCAAGTTAAATTGTGTTCAGAGAGCTTTTTCACTATGTTATTTTCAGTCTTAAAGTTAAAGAAGACATGTTTTGCCACCTAGTACCTTTAACTAAGGTGTTCCATTGTGCTGTTACATACCAACAAGCTTCAGGCATGTTTTATCAGAATTAGTAATATCTATTCAATGTCCTTTTCAGTTCTTTCCTGGCACATACGGAAAAGGAGCGCAGTAAGGCTAAGAAGAAAGAGAGAGTGAAGGAATATTTGAAAGAACTCAAATCTATCGTTCAGGCCAAAGGCGAGGGTCGAGTAGGAACCTTGTCAACTTTGCAACATGTTCTCTCTAGTATGCGTAAAATTAAAGGTACTTAAGATTTCTGCAACTTTTTAGAAATGTTTTTCTTTGTTATCTTCAATCAACAGAATTTAGACATAATTATCATGTATATGCATGATTAAATGTAGAAATGTTATGTCAAGGTAATCCATAAAGGTCAAATTAGATTGTTCTTCTGGTTTCGTCTGTGCTTCTATAATAGTAAGAAATTTTGTTAGAGAAATAAGATCTATTATTTTATAAATCATAAGTGACAAAGATATATGACACTAAATTTATGTTTTGTTGGGTTTTTTTTAGATGCTAAAGAAAAGAGCAGAACACAGAAGAAAGTTTTACCTGACCTGGGAGAGGATCAGTATATGGGACCACCTGCCGATCTGTCGCACACAGTTTATGAATCTGACTCTCACGAGAGTCTTACGTGCGAGTCTCTCAAGTCAAGTGTAAGTCCTATTTATTGACCTCTATGGCTTTGTTAAACTGTTGCTAGGTTACTTTATGGGAAACTGTTGCAAGGTTACTGTATGGAAAAGAATTATCTAGTGCCTTGGTAATTAGTTTTAGTATTGTAAAACACATTTTTGTGTCGAACAGACATGAAACAATCCATTTGTTAAGAAATTAATTTGCTTTAATGCTTACAACAAACTTCAGATTTAAGGCTGTCCCTGTGAGTTAGTTTAAGTGGAGTTTACTGTATACCTATATATTTCATACATTTTCAGTACGTTTGCCACTTCACCATTTAAGTGATTTATTTAACATGCAGACAATAAACTGATGACTGGCAAACAAAATAAAGGCCGGTCTTAGTGTCATAATTACCGTTTTCGAGCCTATTGTACTCGTCAGATAAATTATCTGTATTTAAACATTCATCATCTATTTTTCTTTGTATTACAAGATGTTTACTTTATATGTATTGATTTACATCGTTTCATAAGTTGGAAAATAATGAAATGAAATTTGATAGTGTTACAAGTATATCTTTATGAAGTAATTCTTGCGGTTATATATAAAATGTTTCCTTGTAAAAATAGCAATGAGATAGCTTTCAATCTTGAAGAAATACGATACATTATTATTTCTCTTGATATTAATAAGACAGTTGAAAAGATAGAACTCATTTTATCCATATGTCTGAAAATAGAAGTAGCAAAATTTAAGTATTGAAATTAAAATCACGTTGCAAATTTTTGTTTTGTTTTTTCAACATTTTGATTTGCATGATAAAAATACAATTTAAAAAGATATAAGGAATGGGAATATTACCATTTACTATCTACGTACATGTATTTATGCAGATTAAAATTGTGAATGTCTTACATTATTGTGGAGGTCGAGCCAATAAGCCTCACACATTTTCATTAGCGTAAACCATTGTACACGAAAAGCTTCTGTATGCAATTACATGATAACTTTATTGTTTAATTCTGTAATCAATAGTTAGTTTATGACATTGTCTGGAATCTAGACTCGGCTTGTCTTCATGAGAATGATTCAGTGAAAATTGTTAGTAAAAACTACTCCTTTAAGCTTTTCTTAAGTAGGTCTATACCTCTATTGCATATTTACAAAAGATTTCTAAGATGGAAAAAAAAACATTTTATATTTAGGTAAATAGCTATGTGTACATACAGTTTACTGCTAATAGAACTTTAAGGATAATTATTTTCTGATAGAACTTTAAGGATAATTATTGGCATTGCAATGCAAGGGAAAGAACTCAGCAACATTATACATAATAATAAGTCACTTATAAGAAAAAAAAAAGATTTACATAAATAGCTCAAAAAGAGGGCTAAGTGAGCGACTGTGGTGGTTAAAGATGTTTAATTTTTGGCTCTAAGAAAAATAATTAAAGTCACTTACCCATCAATAATTGAAAGGGTTTGGTTTTTACCACCAGTATAGAGAGCCATGCCAGTATACACGTCTTTGCAATCACACCAGGCTCTCTATACTGGTGGCTGGCCAACTGACTTGATATACCACAAAATTAGATAATGGACAGTTTCAAAAATGGTAGCTTGACTAGTGTAATTGCAGGGATTTAGAAAGTAAAGGTCGAGGTTGAAATTGAAAAGCAGCATGAATTATTCTATCTGTTGTGGGATATGATTTTGTTTGGGCCTTATTTATATACATGTAGTTATAATTATGTATGTAGTTATAATTATGTTTTACTATGTCATTACAGGATGAGCTGCGTGTTATTATATCTTCAAGTGATCACATTGTCAGGGCAGTGTCGGCCAACATGAAATACGTACTTGGCTATCCTAAGGTAGGTTGAAATGTCTTCAGCTGTGTCTAACAATTTTTTTGTCCTTATGAAGTAAAAATTGATGTTGAAAAAAAAAAAAAATAAAATCGCAAATGTTGTTGTTGATATCAAGAAGCAGTCTGACACAAACTGTTGGTGGTTCATTTTAATATTTTTAATCTTAAATTCTATTTTCACTAGCAATGGCAAGTTTCAAAGATGACATCAGGATTTGACTTTAACGTAAATACAGAAGATTTAAGGTTAAAGTACCGGGTAATAAGCACTTACCATACTGCATGTTTGTTATGTTGATTATATGCAATATAGTTGTTATATTATAACACTTGGACATCGTCAGTTACGATATATATTCCATACCAACATCATATATTCTGCGAATACTATGTTATGTAGTATGTACAGAAAATATAATGTGGGTAACAGCCAATTTACTTTTGACAGCTTATATGACCTTGTCTAAACAATTCCTTGCAATATAAACTCCCAGTGGCTTAGGTCATATATGCCCACAACAATTTGTCTTTGGACATATAACCTGTCAAGCATTTATTTAGTTCATAGTTTATGCCACATATACTCAAAATATGTTTTGCGTGATACATAAGTATATTGATTGGTTTTTCGTTGTAATTTTATAATAATTTATTTATTTATTAGGAAAGCTGGATTGGAAGGTCATTTGATGATTACGTTCATAAGAAAGACCTCATAACGTTTGTGAGCTTTCATCGTACACCTGATGATGGCACTGAAGGTATGTTAGTACAAAGAAAAAAATTTTTACAAACTACTTGGGGGGGGGGGTTTATAGCATAAAGTAGTTTGAGTAGCTACAGTCGCTTAGTGGATAAGGTTCTGGCCTTCTTGTCCCACACTTGTTTGAGTTCAAAACCACCAGGGATGCTGAATCTTTTTTTTGCAAAGTTATTCAGCTGAGGGTTTATGTTCTCTAGCATATCTTGCTTGTTTTTAGAAAAGTGCAAAGGTAGGCACCTGGGAACATCCTCCACCCTATTATTTGGAATTTTATTATCTAAAAATAATGTTAAAGTCTTGTTGTATTTCTTTGGCAGATGCTCATTGTCTATTGTACAGAAGAACTAAGAAAAAAAGTTGAACTTTGGCTTAAAACTATTCTTTTGTTAACAGAGTGCAATTATATGTTAAAAGTGAAGTAAGTCAAAGAAAAAAAACGAACACAAACCCAAAAACATAAATAAACTGTAATCTTAAATAATTTAGTTCATGTTTTCAAGATTCACCTATATCTTTGTTTACTATCAGTTTCAGATTCGGAAGTCACAGGGGAATCAAAGATCTTTTACTTCAGGCTCAGGTAAGTGTCACAGGAATGTTTAACTAAAATTTGCCTATATGCCACGTCATTTATTAACTTTGAATGTAAATTTTTGAAAGTTTTGACATTGAGTGATCTCCCTTGTAAGATAACAATATAGGATGTGGTATTTAACAAATATGAAATAGGGACTGTTATGAATTTGTTTATATCTCTTTCACAGAAGACTTAAAACAGTACAAAATTTGTTTTTCTGTGACAAAAACGATTACAATTTTTTGTTGTCAGTTTTTGTTGTCCTTGATTTTTGGAAGTCTTTATTAATAGAAAAGAAAGACAACTCATGTGTAAATATTGAATCATTTTGCTATTGGTTGTTTCCCTTTATTTATACTGGTGGCCAAGGATTTTTATTGTATACACAGTATCCAATGGTATAGAGTCTACAAATTTGTTTTGCCTGATAAGCCTTTTATCCATATGCTTTGCACTGAAACAATGATGGATCTACATATCTGTTATGTTTTCAGGAAGTTTAAGAGTCTTGGGTCATCGGGCTTTAGTTTGCGTAAACAAGATTATTACACTCCGTTTCAATGTACGTTCACGCGAAAGAAAATGACCACGAGTGAAGTTGCAAGAATGGGCACGTATCCAAGTTGGTATGAATCGACATCAACGTCAGTAAATTCTGGTTCACCTGACGCGATACAGATGACGTCAGAGTCGTCATCTGTCGGTTCTCAAGGGGAGAAGAAATGTACTGAGGAGAAGAAGTTGTACACAATCATGTATTGTGTTCCATTAATGTCTCCATATTCAGGTAGATATAGATTGTTTGCATAGCAAAAAAGGGAATTTTTATGCACCCAATACTAGATATTATTATTAAGCTGTTATATCTATAAACAGTTATCTACTTCTGAATCACTTATTTATTTTAGGCTTATTTCCCCTATTATAATGAGGATATTCAAGTATCTTCTTTCATGTTCACTTTTGAGCTAAAAGTAACCTGTTTTCATACGATTTAATTTTAATGGCATGTTATGTTGAATCAATTTCATTATAAATGATTTTGTATATGTTTTCAGAGAGTGGTCTGTTACCAGAAGTAAAGACATTTGAGACAAGACAGACATTATTTTGCAGTTTCTGCCATATTCAACCAAAGTGAGACACTTTCCTACATATTTGTGTTTTTTTACTTTCAGGGCAATAAATCCTAATTCCAGTGTAAAGTTTAAACTGTCCATATTCTCCAAGCAAGGAAAAATGTAAAATAAAAATATTTTGGTGGCGACAAAATTTTGCACATATATATCAGTGATAATTTTGTAGATGACCATATTTAGAAGTATGTCTTAATTTGGTATATCTGCTAGTAATTTTGGTTTCATGTAAAGAAACCAGTTTCGTAATGCTTTTGAAGTGCTTTTGAAGTGCGAGTGCTCACATAATGATGTTTTATGTTAATGCATATTTCTTCATCATTTTGTACACCAGTGTGTACAGTTTTTACGCAAGAGAAAAGAAATGTTATAATACATCTTGCTTATAAAAACGATTCGATAGTCGACGGATAAAATGCTTTTGTTAATGTGTGCGCTAGGTCATAGAACACAAAATGTAAGAAAATATCTTTCCAGCATAGATAATTTGATGAAGAAAATATTTTTTTTTATGTGACACTGTCTTACAACCCTAAATGTAAAGACTTAAGTACATGCAATATTAATATATCTTGGCAAATGAAAACATGACCGAGAGGGTGTTTTGAACTGCAGGTATAAGGCAAAATAATCAAGTGATCCATGTATGTCTCGGCCTACGTATCATAGAAAATGAGAGAGAAAAACAAAAATAACGAGGCAATTGAATTAAAAAAACAAAACAAAGGTGCTCCGTTAAATAACAATTATTTAATTCAAACAAGCAATTAATATGAAAGAATAAAAACAGGCAATTAATGTTGAAGCTATTTTATTAGTTTGTTTATGTAATGGTCCTGATGAAGGTGGTCAGCTTACATAATATTATGGTTTAATTTTACGGACCTGTTATGTTTTAATTTTTCTTGGGGAGTGACGGGGATTAATTTCCAGTTGACTTAAAGTTCATAAGCTAGTCTCATTACTAATGTTTATAAAAACTTCATAATAAGACAGTGGGACCTTGAAAAAACGAAGATTATCTCGAAAAAAGCTTTTGATCGCAATTATCTGGGATGGTTGAATGTTTTGAAATGAGTTCTAATAAAATCCCATTCATAAAAGCAATTATTTTTGACATGAAAATTTTATTTTTATTGCCTCGGAAAATTAATAATAATGGGATGTGGTGGTATAATTGAATTATCCTTGAAAAAAATAGATCAGGGGGATGATGGGTAATGACAATAATTGTTTACTGTGGTAATACGAGAAAAGCTTTTTCATGTTATGTTCGAATAATAGAATTTATTGACAGTGATTTACTTTATTGCCTTTATTATGAGATCCGATAGAGATCCTGTGTAAATTTATCGTTTATGGATATAGATGAGAAGTTTATAGTGGGAGTGTTGTTAATAGTTTGGTTATAACAATTAAGTGAGCGGGGGTTTTTAGTTTAATGACTGCTCCCTTGTTATTTTTATGGTCGTGTATGAAAATAACAGAAGGCTGTAAAGAATTGTGATTATTATGAATGGAAAGGGAGAAGTCGTAGCACATTGCCGAGCATGTGAGTGTGAGTTCGTTATGGTAACGGAATTAACTGCCCGTTGCGTGTAGGCTTTTGTTTTTCTTGTTACGGATGAACATGGAGTAGTATATCTCAATGACCCGAAAGGCTGTTTGTTATAATTTATGGGAATTTGGGATAGATAATTTTCCTGTTATTCAATGATTGTTCTTTGAAGTCAGATTTTTATTGTCTTTTGGACTTAGAGTCTTGTTTTTTTTAGGTAACAAGGTTACAAAAGGGATGGAATTTTAATACAGGTTCAAGACCTTTTTCAAACAGATCCTGTTTCAATTAATCACTTTGTTTGTTTGGGATTGAATGAAAGTAAATAAGAGCTCATTTGACCAAATGGTTAATGATGAAGTAGATATTGAACCAGTTCTAGTGATTTAAAATTAATGCAAGTCCTATTATTAATATTAATTTTGGTCTCAAATTTAAAAATCCATCATTTGGCGTTCCTTGATTTTTCTGGTTTCCAATTTTATTTGGTTTTCAATTACACATTATTGCATTAAAATACCCACTCTAGTAATTTGATGACTGTTTGGCCTTTATCTTAAAAATTGAAAGATCGAAATTAAAATTGTTTGTAATGAGCTACTAACTTATTTAGTAATTTGTTTTTCTGTAACTATTTTAAACTTATAACTGAAAATGGGTTAAGAGAACAAAGGGGAATTCTTGGTATTTAGTTTAAAACATTTTAAATAATATTGTTCTCACGTGGCCATGTCTTTTTAAACTACTTGTGTTAACAATATCATGACAAGGTAAAGAAAAACAATTTATTTGCAGGGAATTTTGAATTATTGTTCTTATTAAACAATTTAAGATTTAATTTGCAAGAAATTTTTGAATTCTTTTGCTTTTAAAACAATTGAAATTTTCTTTTTTGAAGTCATATGTTTTACACATGCTGATCACATGGCAATATGAAATTAGAAAGAAAAGTATATTTTTTAGCACAGGGAATGTAAAAATGAACTCTCTTCCGTTTAAATAATTGGAATTCACTCTTTGTACGTCATACGTTTTACCAATACTGGTCACATTGCCATTAAAGAAAAGTCTCTCTATTTTTAGCAAATAGTATGGTTGTCCTCTTTTTGTTTAAACGACTGAAATTATTCATTTTTTAGCCATACCGATTTATTACATTATGCTATTTCTTAAGACATGGCCGTGCTGACTTTCGAAGTCTTTAGTTAGTATAGCGCAGGAAATGGTAACAGCATGTATGCATTCGCGCTCTGTGACTAGTAACAGTTTTCTCGTTAGCAATTTCCTGTAAACGTGACCGTGCGAACAAATATCTGTCTAAATAACGTGATGTGATTAAAACGCGCATGGATTGTTGTTGAACAGCTTCCACAAACAGTTTTGTTTACGATTATGACAATATAGGTGTTAGTGTATATTAACATGTTTGTATGTATATATTTCAGTACAATACCATTACTTGGTTACCTTCCTCAAGAGATGATAGGAGTGTCCATTTTCGAATTCTTTCATAATGACGATCTATCTAGACTGTTTAACATCTATACTAAAGGTAGGTAACTCTTGTGTTGACATTCAAGATAGGTAACTTTTGCATTTTCATAAAAGAATAGTAAATGGTGCATTTAAATCAAAGGGAAGTAACTGTTTCATTATTACTAAACTGTGATAGGTTATTCAAGTAAAGATGAGTAACTCAAGCATAATTTTCAGAATTTTTTGAGAACACATTTAATTTAAAATTTCTTGTCCAAATTTAAGTAGCGTTAATTGACATGATACAATTTTTCTCTTATCACACTGCTAAAAATAGTTATTTCTCTTTGTAGTAATAGCTTTAAAAGGAGTGCCATATAAGAGTGGGCCAATCAGATTCCTGGCCAAGAATGGCAGCTGGATTTCCTGTGTGACAGAGTGGTCAAGCTTTGTAAACCCGTGGTCAAAACGACTGGAATTTATCATTGGGAAACATACTGTTGTTAAGTAAGTATTTCAAAACCTGAACCTGCCAAATTTGTATAATGGTTTTGGCCTGCTATGAATTTGGAACAGTCCGTTTGAAGTTAAGGGATTTAAATGTCAAAATACAAAAAAATTGAACAACCAAATGTTCAGGCTGGCCAAAAGCTTATAACATGCAATTTTAGCAGGGTAAGGGGTTACCTAAAACTCACCGTCATATATTCATTTGTTGAATTTCTACATGTTATTTATTTAAACTAACTTAGAAGCACGATCTTTATTCAAAAATGCTTAAATTGTTTTCGAGTTATTGTTTTTACGTGGAAATGCATTCATAGTCAAGTATACAGACTTGTTAAACTATTTGACAATGCTTATTTGTTTTACAGGGGACCAGACAACACAGATGTTTTTAGTGAGAATTTCCACCACACAAGTAGAATAGAGGAAGACTCTGAAGCTATCAGGCTTGCACGACAGAAGATAAAAGACTTGCTGTTACAGGTAATTTAGGCTAAAATAAGTAGAATCCTGTTTAACTTGTTTGAAAATTATGAAAAGATTTTTAGTTAGCTTAAGGAAAGTAAGTTGCTCTACTCATGCTGATTTTTGAAGTACTGCACTCATGCTGATGTTTGAAATAATGTTCTTATGCTAATGTCTTAAATCATGCACTAATGTTGATGTCTAAAAATTACAAACTAGAAATACTTACTTAAACATACTTTCAAAGAAAAAACTAGATTGAATAAATATGTTGATATATATCTAACTTTCAGCCTGTAGAGACAGTCTATATTGGTAATAATGGAGACAAAACAGCAGCAAAAAGTGGCGGGAAATCTGTGGCAATTGTTGGTAAGTCATATGTACATGTTTATATATTTGTTGCATTTTGGTTGGCATTTATTGTACGGAATGATGATATTTATAACATAATTATGTCTTGCTCAGAAAGTGGACCCTCCACTTCTGCACCCAACCCCTACTTCTGTGACATCTTGGTTAAGCATGGGTAATCACTAACTTCTGATTATACTAAATGTAGTCTGAATCCATAATTTGACAGAGATACCATATAGAAGCTGCTTTTCTCCCAAAATTTCTGTATTGTGAAACAAAAATTGAGCAACTAACAACATAAGAGTTTGAAAGAGCTCTTGTTTTAATTGTTTATATCAGAGTTTGAAAGAGCTCTTGTTTTAATTGTTTATATCAAAGCAAGCATTTGTCAGTTGCACACATTAATTTTCAACAGTAAGAAATTTTGATGTAGTATAGAATGAAGAAATGTAATATTTATTTCATGTTACAGAGGAGAAGGAATCCACCGACACTGAGCAAGTTATTCCCCAAAATGAACACAAGACGATATACGCGAGTGAACGTGAAAAGTCAGCCATGCATGGCACTGGTGTACTGTTTAAGGAGAACTCAATAAGTCGGGCCTATGATCAGCTGAATTATACCAATTGTATAAAAAAGTAAGTAAAGAAGAGTGGTAAATTTGGTACAGATTGCTTGATTTTATCATTAAAACTGAAACATAACTTGTGTTAAGGAAGTGTTAGACAGAAATATATATCCAAAATAATATAATTTTTAATCAAGAAATGTATTAAAGAATTACTTCAGGTCTAATTAAGACAGGCTGAAAAGGGATATCGGACCTTGATGAATACTGACTCTTAGGGTATTATTAATTTATCGGGCTGATTATCGCCTTCCTGTTGTACTCTTCCATGTATTATTAACCTCTTCAGTAATTTTCTTTCAATTTTACTTTTGAACTTTTAGTCTGGTGTTCTTTTATGTATTATAATTAATCGTAAACTTTTAGTATGTTATGGGATTTCTGTGTAATTAATAACTTAGCAAGTGATAGACCTGATAGAGTTTAAATTATTTTATGTCCAAGCAAGCATTTTGTTATTTACTCACTTATTTTGGAGCATAATTGGAGGCCACTTGAACGGGCACTTCACAAGGTCCATAACTCTTACATTGATTTTGACAGAATAATGGCCCTTTTTGTCCAACAGACAGCTTTTGTTAATCAAATAATTGATGTTTCAGATTTTTGCTGAGTCAACCTAGAAGTTTCTCAAGTGACTCGGACCCAAAGAAGAGTTCTTCAGAAGATGGTTTTGACGAGGAAATGAATTCAAATGGTAAGCTGAAGTTTCTGAAAACTTTGGTAGCTTGTTTGAAGGTTTCCTAATGCTAATCCCAGTTTTTGTGTATTTAAGATTTAATTGCATTTAACACTAAATAAACTTATTATTTATATCCTCCTGCAATAAAAGTCTGGAGCATTTTGCAAGCACTCAAAAAGGCTTAACAATAGATGTTATCAGGAACTTGTCAAATGTGGGTTTTCCCCATCTAATTCAGGGGTACAATCAAAATGACTTCTATAACTTCACAAGCACTACTGTTCACAATAGTGATAAAGACATCGCGCTTACCACTCATATATTTAGCAAGTTGTAACTGTAATTGTTTATTTATACTATGGGATTAGATCAGGAAAAACCCGCATTTGTTTAGTCCCAGAGTATCTCTTTTTCAAATTACATGATTTCTTTGAAGAAAAGAGATCTTGTATCACATTAAAATAAGTAAATGGAAATGAAAAATACATTGTGAAAACTAACATATTTGGATAAGGGGAATGAATACAGAGTTATGTGTTGGCTATTATTCTGGGTAAGGGAGAAATTAATAGCTATTATTCTGGGTAAGGGAGAAATTAATAGCTATTATTCTGGGTAAGGGAGAAGTTAATAGCTATTATTCTGGATAAGGGAGAAGTTAATAGCTATTATTCTGGATAAGGGAGAAGTTAATAGCTATTATTCTGGATAAGGGAGAAGTTAATAGCTATTATTCTGGATAAGGGAGAAATTAATAGCTATTATTCTGGGTAAGGGAGAAATTAATAGCTATTATTCTGGGTAAGGGAAAAGTTAATAGCTATTATTCTGGATAAGGGATAAGTTAATAGCTATTATTCTGGATAAGGGAGAAGTTAATAGCTATTATTCTGGATAAGGGAGAAGTTAATAGCTATTATTCTGGATAAGGGAGAAGTTAATAGCTATTATTCTGGATAAGGGATAAGTTAATAGCTATTATTCTGGGTAAGGGAGAAGTTATGTTTTGAAATTTAAGGATTTATTTCTGATGAAGAAAATGAATGAGGTCATTAGGTTTAAGATATTTTAAGAAGAAAATCAGATGTAAATAATTAGATGCTAATTTAAAGATAATAGCAGCCATACATGTAAAGGAGGTGTATATTAGATAATGTTCATTTAAAGATAGCATTGTTTATGAATTTCTAAATTGATAAATTTAAAATATAAGATGATTTTAAAAAATAAGGGAAAATGTAATTAATTAGCAATAGAGCTTAATATCAATATTTATGAAATAAATGGAAAGGAGATTATTAAAAAGGAAAATGTATAATTTTTGCAGCAGTACTTTTCTATAGAAATCGAGGTAAATATCTAGTTCCATCATATAGGCAAGATTAATGATTAACTGGACTTTTTTTCTCTGAGATAGACAGAAGGTTAAAGAATATGTACATGACTTTATTGTAAAGTTTCGATCCTCAGATAGGGAAAAATGTGTTTATACACAGAGTTTTGGAATTAAATGTTAAAAATGGGTGTGGTTTAATTTTTAATTAGTATAGGAAGATACGTCAGAAATGGTTTTGTTTGGTTTTTATTTGGTTTTAAGTTTTGTTCGTTTTTTAGGTCAAGATTAAATTTTTTTTTCATTGATAATGTGTAGTATTTTGTAAGTTATTTTCAAAATGTTTATGGTTTGGAACTTTTTTTTTTGGTATGGGGGTGGGTCAAGATTTCTTCTATTGATAATTGATTTATAATTATTATTATGATAGAAATGCCTGGGTATTGGGACTGACTGTGTACTGGCAGATAACACTCTTAAATGGTATACCAAAATTCAGATACCATTTATAAAAATGGGTTGAATTAAAGATCAAGGTCATAATCAGTTACCTACTTTTTCTGAGAAATAAATTGCTTTCCAAAGTGTAAAAGTAAGTGCAAAGAGGTTGACTGGCTTAAAAATGTGAAGATGTTCACAGTTACCTTGGAGAAAAAGGTATGTACTGTAACAGACAAATTGATATACTATTAAAAATAATTGATATAAGTATTAAAAAACTAAAAAAAATTATATACTCTTAACATCAAATATTGATAAACTATTAAAAATGCCAACAATTGATAAACTATTTGAATTGCACCAGAAATTGATAATCTATTAAAAATCACCAAAAAATGATGATCTATAAAAAATAACCAAAAATTGTTATATTAATAAAGATATCAAAAATAGGTGTATTATGAAAAACAACACAAATTGATTTAATTTTGACAAACAACAAAAGTTTACTGACTTTTAAATAACATTAAAAATTGATAAACTACTAATAATCACCGAAAATTGATAAACTATTAATAATCACCAAAAATTGATAAACTATTAATAATCACCAAAAATTGATAAACTATTTATAATCAACAAAAATAGATGTTTTATTAGAAAACACCAAAATTGATAAACTTATTATTATTAAAAAAAAGACAAACTGTTACACCAAAGATTTCTAAGTCATAGTTACGTCAAAATGACAGATAAAAAAGAAGGATAGTTACGGTAGTATGTCAGCAGACATAGATTTTCTATTAGCACATTTAGCAATAGATATGCTTAACATATAAATTTATTGATCTTTGATTATGACGTAAGGATTTTACGTAAGCCAACATTAGACCTGTGTTGAAGAAGATTTTCATATGACAAAGTTTACTTTTGCAGAGCAGTAGCAAATTGCATAGACAGCTTAAGTTTGGCATGACAGTATATTTTAACATAAAAATTAATTTTAATTAAGTATGAACGAAAGAAAATGGAGTGGATTATGCTTTATACATGTATTCCTAATTTTGACGTTAATGGAAACATTGCTAACTCACCACATTGCTAATTGGCATGCAATGAGAATTGGTATTGGGAAAGAGACAATTATTTGAGTTAGGATTTTCTCAGTGAGTGAAAGGAAGGGCAATTGGTTATGCATAGGTAATAAATTGTGATTGAAATGATAATAATAACATTACTGGGGTCAACTTTTCTTCATATTAACAAATCAAACTGAAACATCATATGATCAGAATTATGTTAATTTAATAATTTAATGTTAAACAAACAAAACTGGAATCAAAGTGGAAAGCGTCTTTGGGTGTTGAGGTTGAACAAAAATAACTCAGATCAAATGTTTGAGGCTAGAACTCAGATCAAAAGTCTTTGGCTTCAAGTCTGATTAAAAGTTTGAGGTTGAAATCAGATCAGAAGTTTGAGGCTGGAATTCTGATAAAAAGTCTGAAACTTAAACTCAGTTCAAAAGTTTGAGGCTTGAACGCAAATTGATTGTCTGAGGCTTGAACTCAGATCAAAAGTTTGAAGCTTGAGCACACAGCAGAAGCCTGAGGCTTGAACTTAGTACATGGGTTTGATGCTTGAACTCAGATCAAAAGTCTGACTGAGGCTTGAAATCGGAACAAAATACTGAGACTTGAAAAATTAATCAAATCAAAATTCTGAGGCTTGAAATCAGATCAAAAGTCTTATGCTTGAACTCTGACTAAAAGTTTGAGACTTGAATTCAGATCAAAAGGTTGAGCCTTGAAATAAGGTCAAAAGTTTGAGGCTTGAACTCAGATCAACAGTTTGAGGCTTAAACTTGGATCAAAAGCTTGAGGCTTAAACTTGGATCAAACATTTGAGGCTTGAACTCAGATCAAAAGTCTGAAGTATTTTTAGTTTGTGGTTAAAAGCTTAGATATATATTGATATTAATGATAGCTTAGTACTAAAATTAGGTTTTAACATACATCTGTTTGATATAAGATTTATTACATTTAGAGCAATATACTAATCATTCTTCATACTTAATCTTTAGATAATGTCATTAATGTTTTTCTTTTCTTTATAATTTCCTTTTTTTATCCCATAATTATCTTTGCTTTTCATTTTTACCATTGCTTTTTACTTTATATCATTTGTTTTGTAACGCCTTGGCAATTGTTAAAACATATGTTTTGGGAGAGACAATGTTTTTCTGTACACAGGTAAATCTATTGAGAGTTGGTTAGCGACCAGTTTTGATGACCTGATCGGCACGAAAAGTTTACATCGCACATCAGATGGATCGCGAAGCCTGCCAGCTTTGAACGATGATTTTTGGAAAAAACGCATAAGTATATGCTCCCTTTTTTTTGTGTAATATGTGTTCATATGTGTTAAAACAAATTGTTATGTGTAGTGGCATTTAAGTCTTTTACTTAGTTAAAATAAGTTTTTGATTATATTTTATAAAAAAATTTTAAGTGCCTGTGCCCATATTAAGCTAAACTAAGCATAACGCCTATTTTTTTTGCTCAACTAAGCATAATAGTATTCTAGATTAGTTAAATTACAAATCTTATGTTCAGCTTAAAAACATTCTCAAATGTAGAATATTGAACACTTAAATAGGTTGTAGTGAATAGAGCTGTAATTTGTGAATCAACTTAGTTATAGAAGTAAGAGTTTATCTAAAAATACCCAGGTAGAGCAAAAAGTTAATTTTACGTAGTTACTTGCTGCGGGTGAATACCAGGTGAGTGATGTAGGTAATTCCTGACTCTCTTGTAAAGGATAGGATCTGTTAGCATTTGGATCAGATGTAATTTTTGATTACATTTTAGAGTTGTTAATGGCCTATTAATTAGGTATTTAAGTTTCTGCTTCTGCACATTGCTTAGATATTTTCACACTAAGTAATAATTGTCATAAAATAGTCCAGAATTAGTTAGATATATATAGAAAAGTATTTTAAGTTTAAAATTTATTTTGCTAAATTATTTAAAGAATAGGGGAGCTAGTATCTTTCTCTCCATCTATGTAACACTTAGTTAAGATTTTTGATACAACTTGGTTTCTTCTTAATATCTATTTAAGGTATTCTCTTGAAACTTCATAAATTTCTTCTGGTTCTTAATTGTAGGGCAGTGATCAAGAACATTAAAGTGTATAAAGCTGTATCTGATGAAATATGATATGTTGTTTATCATAATACTGCATGGCTAATTGTGACGTTTATTTAGTTTTATATACACAGCTGAGGTGAATTTATGAAGAAATCTCACTTCTTTTTTTCTAAAAAAGGAAGTTTGCTGTATTATCAATTTGTTATACAGATTCCTGACAGGTTAAATGCACTTATATAGACGGTTGTTTGGAATATAACCCTTGCCTGGCAGCTCTGATTATATTTCTTAACAGTCGTTTATATAGGGCCATATAACCTGACAAAAATCTTTATAACTAATAAACACATGAATATTGAACTTCAACAAAATAAAATGTTCCGAAATTAAATATTTCGCTGCTATTTTTAGTAGAATTTGCGATCATTTTCGCATGCCCTACTTCCTTTCAACACAATAAACTGAAAAATTTCTTTCCTTCTTGGTTCTGTATATAACCATTTTCATTGCAATCCACTCCACGGACAACAGATATATAGCTTTATACACTTTAAAGTTTAAATCATTCTTATTTTTTGAGTATTAAACCTACAGCATGGCTTTTGATTTATTACCCAGCATTACTGATAGTCGAGAATACTGTCCCTTTGACAGTTCTTATTTTATGATATAGTTTTATTAGCCTTTGTGAAAAATGAATGAAAAGATTTTTCCAGGAATTATGTAATGAGAAAACAAAAGGTATAGGTTTATTTTAACTGCTATTTTTTATGGTCCAGGTATGTGCGTGAGCACATACAGCGATACAATGATGGCAGGGTATTTCACACTCCCTTTTCCTGGCATGATAAGTACAACAGAAAAGTATCTTCACCTGTCAGACTGCGCATGTCATTAGTAATGCAATTTCATTTGATTTCAAAAACCGATCTTTCTTTATATTGAACTTGAAAATCAAAAAATCATTTAGTGACTTTTTTTTTTAAATGAAGAATGCCTGGCATGTAGAAAGTGCCTCACAATTAACTTACAATGCATATATATAGATATTATGCAACTTTTACATTGTAAGCTATATTCTTATTTCTTCATGGTCAAATTCAATGAAGAACAAAACAAAAATAAGAAAAGGAGGACAACAAAACTGGCCAAATGATTAGGAATGCCTTAACAAGAAACACCTGTAAAATTGTTATTGTCAAGAAACACAATTAGCTCTGGTAGCCCAAAGTTAAATTCTTATAACACTTAATAACTTAAACACTGTTAAAGCAACTTGTCCATCTTTCAATCTGGTCCAAATCATTCATCATTTTTATGAATCATTTCAAAATATTTATATATTAATTGAATAAGGAACAGTGTAACAGGCCAAAGGTTAACACCTGAGTGCCATGAAGAATTAAATTTTACTATGCAACAGTATAATGTAACTGCTTTTAAATTACATGAACTCTCCTACTCTTAATTAATTGAAGTCCAGAAAAAGGGATGTGTGCATAACCTGCTGTCATGTTAATTTTGATGTTGTATGAACTGTATAATGATATTGTATACATGTAAAATAGTCATCATGTGACATGCTTGTTGGGTTATATAAATTGGTTATTTGTGTTTGTGTACAACTGTCAGGAAATGAATGTATAGTTAGAACAGGAAATGGGTATGCCCTTTTAGTGAAGAAATGCTAAAATAGTGATAAAATAAGGGGGGAAAATGACAATGTAACTTGCATTTTTGATGTTTTAATAAATAATATGATTGAATACAACTACAGTTTGGGATGATGTACAACATAATTATATAAAAGGAACTGCACTGAGATTTGATGAGCAGTTGAATTTAGTAAGATTTAAACAGGCAAATTGACATTTAAAGCAGTTTGTATGAAGTAACAGGAAAATTGACCTGTATGAAGTAAGATGCAAATTAAGATTTAGAATAACTCTGCATGAAGTAATAGGCAAAGTGACACTCAAAAGAACTCTGCATGAAGTAATAGGCAAATTGACATTCGAAAGAACTCTGCATGAAGTAATAGGCAAATTGACATTCAAAAGAACTCTGCATGAAGTAATATAGGCAAATTGACTTTCAAAAGAACTCTGTATGAAGTAATAGGCAAATTGACTTTCAAAAGAACTCTGTATGAAGTAATATGCAAATTGACACTCAAAAGAACTCTGCTTGAAGTAATAGGCAAATTGACTTTCAAAATAATTCTGTGTGAAATAATATAAATCGACATTCAAAAGAAGTCTGTATGAAGTAATAAGCAAATTGACATTCAAAAGAACACTGCATAAAGTAATAGGCAAACTGACATTTAAAGCAATTTGTATGAAGTAATAGGCAAATTGTCATTCAAAAGAAGTTTTCATAAAGTAATAGGGAAATGAACAGTCAAAAGAAGCCTGCATGAAGTAATAAGAAAATGTTCAACATTCAAAAAAACTTTGTTACTTAATGAAGTTAAATAGGCAATTTAAAGTAGCATGTCAAAAGCATTGTGTAGTAAAGTTAAAGAGCAATTTAAGACATACTTGGTAAATTGGTGTCAATGTTGTTTGCCAAAATGGTGCTGATATACAAATGCTTTAAGTATAATTATTTGAGCTCACAAATTTGGGAATGTGTCTGGTTTTGCATGCATGTTCACTTGTGTTTGTATGGTTTGTTACAAGAGTTATTAGAAACACTTCAATTTAAATTTAACACAAGTGAGTAAAAATAACTAAAAAGAAATAAAGCAATTCTATGTTATGTTGATACAGAATTTTTCTGTACTCAAAGACAATTTGTGTAATTTAAGAACTTTTGCTGAGACACTTTCTGCAAAATGATATCAGAGCTAAATGACAAAGAAAAATTAGTGAGAAAAAATATTTAGAAAATGACTACATTTTAATAAAACATATCTTTTTTTAATGTCATTTTCAGCTTATATTAAATGCAATTGAGTGTGAATTTCATTTAGTATACTTGATTTATTTTTGTCATATTAAACTTTAATTTAATTTGATAGTGAGTTGTAACTGAGCTCATACCCTAAAAATAAGATAATAAGCCTGTTTTAAGAATAAGTCACCATTTTTTTACAGACAGATTATCAATACCTTATCGTCACCTTATATTAGTGCAATAACTGGTTAACTGCTTTTAAATTTAAAAGGACTTAAACTGTTACTGCACTAAGGTGAAGCTATGTTAATATCTAAAATCTTCTAGATTCATCATGTCACTGTAAAATTTCATATCCTTGAAAACTTACATGCAGCTTACTGAAAATTTAAAAGGACTTAAACTGTTACTGCACTAAGGTGAAGCTATGTTAATATCTAAAATCTTCTAAATTCATCATGTTACTGTAAAATTTCATATCCTTAAGTAAAGCTTGTATTTAATTAAACATAGAGTTTTCACACACATTAAGCTTTTGTTTCATGTGTTTTGAGCTCTAGATATGTTTAGCCTTTCGTTAATAGTTCCCAGTAACACCCCATGCATGCACAGTTGTGAAATACAGTATCATTATACAGTGAGCGTTGTTTGATATAGAAAATATCTCATTGAAACCGTTTTTTTTTATATATCTTACTTATTTTCAATACTTTGTATTATTGAAAATGACTTTGATGTTGAATAATGATTTGAAATTGAAATGAAAAGTCATTGTGTTGACAAGGCTATGATAGTTGGGTTTTTTTTGTGCAAAACATTGTGTTTTGCATCTTTAAGTTTAATTATTTCAGAATTTTTATTGTTTTTATGTTAAAATGAAACGATATAGTTAATGTACACATCTTTAAAGCTGGCAGATGGAATACCAAAAACACAGGTGATACTAAATAGTGTAGTACAGAAAAACATGAATATTATATTTGATATCATATGAAACAAGGTAATATGTTAAATAATAATATGTTGATTTTGTTGTTGTTGTTGATGTCCCTTATAATTTACAAACTGCTCCTGCCGATGGATTTCTTAAATAGAGGATATTGATTGAGTGTAAGTTCAATACTGAATTTATTGCACGAGTTGAATAAAATTTGATTATGCGAGCCTCAGGCGAGCATAATATTATTTGATTCAAGGAGTTCAATAAATTCAGTAATGAACTTACACAAATTTAATATTCTATTCATCACACACCCAAAATAAAGACCATTTAAAGTGAAAAAAAAAAGAGTCATTTTTCATTGACAAACTTTTAGTTACGATAACATTTAGTGCGTCTTTACACTATGTTTGTATAACCTTGATAACGTTTTTCATCTCGGTCCCAAACATGCGTTTTAACAGAATTTTCTTGCTATGAATATTGACCCATCATTACGTTTTTGTTTCAAGTCTGAAGACTTTTTTTATCTTACTCCGCCATTTTAATTTTAACAATTTTCTACATTTGTTAGATCTTGAAAAATACCTGGATAAGAAACATTATATCATTTTAAGTCAATGTCTACATGCTGTATATGGCTCATTATGATACTGTATGTTTGTAACATCACTTTTCATTGGATAATCATGACTAAGGGAAGAGGGTGAAAAGTCTCGCCTTACACTTCTCCTCTTTATCCATTTAATTATAGCGAAAGTTTATGCATTGATAATGTTATAATCCATTCATGTTAAATGTTTTGATCAGACTGAAATGAATTAACTAGGTTTAATCTAATAATTACGGTACCTGGCATTGTCTTTTAGTTGAATCTTCACCACACTTTGGATATGCTAATCATTCTTTGATGGTTCAGCCCTGATGTTTCATCATTAGATCACGTCTTCTCTCAGTTTGTAGTTTTATTTCTTTGCCTGGCTTGTTAAGGGCTGACACAAGAGCTGAAAAAGGGAATTTTTACACTTTTTTTAGTCATGATCGTGTTTTACATGAACAAAACCCCAATGACACCGTTACACCATTTAATGACACTATTCTAAGTTAGTAAAAAAGAAAAATGAATACTATATTAAATTTTTCGGAATAAATGTGGCATGTGGCAAAGAGACCCAGGAAGGACCTGCATATATTGAAGATTCCCATTTTGGGGAATTTAAACTACGCTAGCAAGCTAAGTTCCCCTCACGACACTTTAAAAAGGTGCAGACCCAGCTGTGTCATTTCATACTTGAAGAATAAACATTGTATATTATCCTTGAACCAGCTTTTTTTTCACGTAAACTAACAACCTTAGCGGCTTTTAAATTTTTGAATTTTACCAGTTAATAGAATATGATATGTGATAATTGATTTATTATTTTTCCAGTCCATTTGATCATAATTTGGTTAAGAGATTGGACACAAAACCATTTCCTCTTAACTTTGTGTATTAATTTTCCTTCTTTAAAAGTGTATGTTTTATATATGAATATTTGCATACAGTGAACAATTAGCATTTGAATATCCTTGTTATTAGTATAATAACATTTCTAGCTATAATAAAAAATAGGTAACCTAGATAATGAAGCCATTATGAGCCAAGTAGACATTGACTTACAGTGAGCAATGTATTCTTTAAAAATTAATATTGCTACTTATATCTTTGCAGGCACAGAACAATAGTGTCCATGCTTTTAATCCTTTCATTTGCAGGATATACATCAACCTTTACAGCTATACAATTATTTTTCAGTATCTTTTGGATTTGGTTTAGATCAGTTGCTAAGCAATTTTTCTTTTCTCTATGTCTTTCAGTTCTATCCGATTCCGACTTTGACTTTGACATCAGCGTTCCTAAACCCCCGAGTTTTGGGAGTAGTACAAAGGTGAGTGAACTTTAAATAGGAAGTAGGGTTGTTGGCTTTTCATTTTAGAAGACATATGTATAGATATTTCGTTTTACTGTTAAATGAAAATATTGTCCTAGTTATATTTTTCTCTCTTGGGAGATAACCTTGAGAGTTGTGGCACGGCTAAATGCTTAACACGTCAGACTGGTAATTTCAGGATTTCTGGTTGTGTTGGTAAAAGCAAGAGCCCTTGTTTCTTGACATTTGGTTCCAGGCTCCAAGAGTGTGTCAAAAAGTTTATAGTTTAGGTGCACCATTTGATGTATCATGTAATTAAGATATTCAAGTTTTATGTGGGTTTTGGCTTTTGGACCTCAGTCCAGTCCCTTTAGTGCAACCAGGAACAAGTCAATAGACATTGCTATTAAGATTCTAAGAAACTTTCACATTTGATACTATTTTAACATTCTCTGATAATGATGTTTTGATAATAAGATGTCCGAAGCTGGAATCTATTTTGACAACATGGACTATATTAATGGAAAAATGATAAATTTATCATTTCAGGTGTTGGTGTCGGAACAGGAACATAGGGACAATGAAACACTCCTGGATCCCATGGTTCTCAGAGATCAGCTTCAGTTACCGTCAACTTTCGTTGATTCCACAACCCCCTTGTCTCCAGTCATCACCGCCCAGAGCACTAGAGACACCCCTGTCACGACAGATCGGCCTGAAATAATGACTCTAACAAGAGAATCACTCTGGAAACATACGATTTTACAAGAACAGTTATATATAGCTACAGCCAGTCCAGATCGTAACATATTATTTGTGAACGAGGGTCGAGAAATGGAATATCCTGGCGGGAAACGACAGAGACATAGTTTAAAACGTTCTCATTCTCCCGATCATACTAGTATTGATCGATGTAAGACTGGTCGCCATTCAATGGAGAGTCAACCAGTCTCAGTAACGCAGTCCATAATGAACCCAGTTTTTCCGCTGTTAACCTACAAGACTGTATTTACGGGTCCAAGACCGAATAAATATTCAACAAGCAGTGATAGGATGATGGTCCCGATGCAGATGTATCCGATCGTCTCAATACAATCAGATGACCACGTGAACGCTAGTCATATAGATTCACAGAGCTCTCTACCGAGCAGTGCTTTCCCATGCTCATACGATCAAATAACTGGTAAGAATCTTAAACTATTTTGGTGGTATTTAGGATACAGTAAAATGATGCATGGTGATTTATCAAATGCGTTATTCATAAGTGAACTTGAATCCAGGGGTCACTAAGTTGATAGTGTCTTGTATGAGAAAACACATTTAAGTCTAATTTTGTGAAACTACAATTCCTTGTGTTATGTAGCATTGCCTGGTTTATATCTTAACATGCCTGTCTCTACATGCTTTTCATTTTGTATTGTTGATATTAAAATTCTTTAATTTTCTATTGGACTGCCCTAAATTAAAAGCTTAAGCAGGATAAATGCATTACACAATTTCAGCAGGTTAGGGGTAAAGTGGGTTGAACACACTAAAATTATGCCTACAGGCTACAACGTAATGTGCTAATTGTTACTTATCATCTGTAAGGAATCTGGCCACAAAAGTTTAAAGGAAAAAGGAAAAAACAAAATGATCATTGATTTTTTTTTTATACACGTAGAGATTTAGGTCTACTTTAAGCATAGAATACTGAAACAAGTGTACCTCAAACACGTTGTATCACCTTTTCATATGGCATTCCAATTATTGACTAAAAGGTGGCAGGGTCTATGCTCTCTTTTGCGTGCTTTATTAACAGTCAGTGCCAATGGTCTTATGTTCAGTGAGCTATTTATAGATCCATAACGGGTCACATGTTGAGTTAGCTCTTATAAGTCATTTTTTTAGCCAATGAATTGGTGACATTCATGGTCACATGTTCAATGAGCTATTTATAGACTTGTCAGATAAAAATCAGCTGGCAGATCTAAACTGATGTTTATATATTCACGTTTAGCAGTTTACATAATGAAACATGTGTTCATATGTTTTCTACATGTGCCCAAAATGTATTTATATGTGTGTACAAAGTGGAAATAAACATTTCCATAGGATCAAGAAATTTGGAAGGATATGCAGGTATAATAGTTGTTATCAGTAATTCAGCAAATCTGGGTTTTTCCAAGCTAACCCCCGTTCAAACAAGCTTTCACCATTATAGCTTCTTGGGGCACACCAGTTCAAATTAGATAAGTCAATCTGTAGCGCTTGTTTTTGAAGCTGTAATTGTAAAAGTTTGTTTATACCCCCAGATTAGCTGTGAAAAAAAATGTTTAATTCTGGAGTAGTAGGTGAAAATGTTGATGTGAGTGATACATTTTTGCTGATTTAAATTATAGGAATGACGTTCAAGCCTCGTGTAATGGTAGGATTTCACCAGACATCAACAGGTCAGTCTAGGATGCCACTCGGTATGCCAATACCTGTGCATCAGCTGAACAGCTATGTGATGCAGCAGGCCAACTCCATGGTTCCTAAATCTGTGTCTACAAGGCCTTCCAGACTAAAGCAAGAGGTATGAATCATTATAATTCTTATTTTGGTGCATAAGTGGATTTCTAAAAAGATAGTACGATATTAAGCAAAATATTATACTAGAATGTAGAATATACATGTTCTTTACTGATTTTATGTTCTGGACTTGACCTGTAAATTGGAAGTTGTGTGTCAAATTAACTACATAACCAAGCTAAATATTGTAAATGGACTTGTTGACTTTTCAATCTGAACAAGACCATTTATCAAATTATAGAGAAAATTTTCAAAAAATGTACTAGCTGTGTAGCAAACATGGATGTCTTATACCTTTTATACAGTCTTGACCCCTTTCTCCATTGATACATGTTTTAATGTGTATATGACCAGTGCAGATCCAAATCAGCCTGCACATCCATGCAGTCTAATTAGGATCTCCACTGTTCACTTTTCAGTCAGAAATATTTTTATGAATATAACAGCGAACAGTGGAGATCCTGATCAGACTGCACGGACGTGTAAAATGTTACAAACTCCACTGGTCGCATATCAGTTAAAACATGTATCAATGGCGTAAAGGGTTAAATTTATAGGGTTTTAAATATCAAAATGCACAATTTTTCCTGTCAATAGTATAATGCCTGGTCAGAGTGCACAGATGTGCAAGTTATGAAGGCCCTGTATTACCATCAAAGGCTGATCATTTTTGGTTCCAGTAGATTAACCGTAAATACTTCCTGTCTGCAATAAAATGTAATTTTACCTTTTCAAATCCTCGAACTCTGATCCAAAATTCTGTATCCAAATTTCCGTATATTTTTTATTCATTATGGAAATTACTCCTTTATAATAAAATTTTAGAAAAAATAATGAATTAGAACTTTTTTTTAAATAAAATTCATCATAAATCCTTTATGATAAAATTTAGAAAAAATAAATAAATTGATAAAAAAAATTAATTGAAAAATAAATAATTTAAAATTACCACCAAGAACAACTGAAACCATTTCATTGGTTTTTTGTAAGTCTTCTTCTGACCTTATAGTGCACTCCCAACTTGATAATTGTCTGTTGTAAACATGTGAACATCGGACACATTACAGTATCGCAGCATTTTTCACGTGCATCCAGATAACGTGTAATAAGCAAATATAAAGCCGAACTTAAGGTTAGGGGATGGTTATCTTTAAAGAAAAATAGTAATTTTTAGTCAGAACGTAAACAGTTCCTTAGATATAATAGTGCACCAAGATAACTTTAGTATTCGAGACACTGATATGAAAAAATATTATTTTTTCAGTGATTTATTCATGTTATTCTAAACAAAATTGGAATTTAATCATCATTTTAACCAGGATTGACATCAGTTTAATTGTAATATACATTATAATTTTTTTCAATTCAGTTTTGTATTTTTTCTATCATAATTTAAAAATTTTTCGTTCTATTTCTGAAGAAGGCCAAGAGTCAGCTGCAGTCAAGCTCGGAATCTTCGTCTACCGAAGATACCAGTTCCACGTTCTATCTGCTGGAATCATCAGAGAATAAAATGAAATCAGTAAGTCTTATAACCATGTTTGTTTTTGTTTGTTTGTGTCGGTTTAATTGCTGGAATAATGTATATATTGATGTATTTGGTCACTGGGAAAAGTTTTTTTAACTAAGACATCATTTTTATGTTTTTAACACACCAAGTATAGAAATTATCTTTGAACGTTTTATGAATCTTTTAAACTAGTTTACTTAATTTAACTCATAATTGACAAATTACTTTTCAGTGTCATTTTTTTTTGTTCTAAATATTTTTTATATCATATATTTTAAGTTTATCATTATTGCTGTGGACTAAATGACTTTGAAATAAAAGTATCACATTTAACAACACAGTCTCAAAGTATCATAATGTTACCTTTAATTCGAGGGAGATTATAATTTATGTAACACTTTTAGCAACCTTACCCATGTTAATACATGTATGTAGCCAAACAACATATACATGAATGTGAAATAGAATTGAGCTGTTATATTTTACTCCCTAGTATGTACATGAATCATGATCCTTCATTTAAACAGAGCTGTATATTTATTACATGTTCAAACAGTAATATTCTACTCCCAAGTATATCTATAATTCATGACAGAGCTGTATATTTTACTCCCATGTTTACAGATATATAATCAAACAATAAAATAGAACTATTATATTTTACTCCCCAAGTTTATACATCTATCCTGATCATACAATAAGATAGAGTTGTTATATTTTACTTCTGAGGATACATAAAAGTAGAGCTGTTATGATTTACTCCCAAGTATATACATACAGAAAGTTCTATACATTTGGAATCAGTTTGACTCCTGACCTGTGTATAATATGAATAGAATGTAAATATAAGGTTCTGCCTTCTGAAAATTGATAATAATTGTTTGAATCAGTAAAATAAAAAAGCTGTACTAAAAAAACCCCAAAAAAAACAGTAATTTGAAAAAGGGCTAGTCCTTTCAGGTGAGATATATCCAGCTACTCCTTATAGGGACTCAAGGTTACGTCTTTGTTTATAGAAATGTTCTTTGGCTCATTAAATTGAACTGAGCAAGGTAGGAAACTTTCAGTCCAAACTAGCGACTGAAATATTTATATAATTAAGTACTGTTTTATAATGCTTACCCCATTATAGAATCCAATGTTACAGGCATACAATCAGCTAGTCATGCAGTCTTTGGCCCAGCAGATGAACCCGACGAAAGGATTGGACCCGGCACCGTGGCTCCAGAATCTGTGCTTCACAGACGGCTTGCAGAATCGTTACCACATGTACCGAGCAAAGCACAAGCGTCAGTTGAAAAAAGACCGCGAAGATATGGAAAAGATTACGCAGCCCGATTTGTTGATGAGTCAGTTTGAAGAGTTATTGTTAAATACAGAACATTCTCCCGGTTTTATAAGAGTAAGTACATTTACTTACACTGTTCAAATACTGTTCATTAAAGTGACATACCGTATAAGTACTTATTTCTGCGGGCTCAATATTCTGCGATTTTGTTAAAATAAGGGGTTTTAAATTTCTGCGTATCTTATTTCTGCGGTTTCATCATTCTCGCATTGATGTTTTTTATTTCTGCGTTTTAATAAAGATATTTTTACAAAATTTACCGATAGAAACAGACAACATTTCAAGATTTGTTGAAGTAACGTGTACATTACTTCCGGTAAACATACAGACGATTTATAATGTGTGTTCATCGTAGTCACCATGTATCGGTATATAAACGTTAATAAACAAAAAAACAACAACGTGCAATGACAACAATTAATTGTAATACTGCATGTGTATAAATATGAAGTGTGAAAAATAAACTATGGTAAAATCGCACGTAGACACAATATATTGTACAAATACAAAAGGGTATGTTTATTGCACCCGTCAAACTATAATAGTTTTATTTTAAAATAAATCAAGCTTAGGATGAGCGAAAATAATACAAACATGATATTTTTTTAAACAAAAAGAAAAAGTAAAGTAACTTTTTTTCTAATATTTTATTCATGACGGTTACATAAAGAAAACTTCCCATCTAAAAAAGCTGATAACGGTACATGGTAATGTAATTATAAAATACAGGTTTTGACATATTCCGACATACATGTAGACATAGCAAAAGGCTTAATTTTCTGCGGTTTTTAAATCTGCGGTGTCGTTATAAACCGCAGAAATAGCAGAAATAAAGTTCCCGCAGAAAAAAGTACTTATACGGTAATGCTCATCTAAGGGTATATAGTGAGTGAACAGGTTAAAGTCAATAATTCCTTCCAATTTTACTTTGCATGAATAATTAACTCATGACCAAAGAATAATTCTGTAAATATCCTCTGGAATTTACCTGTCAAGTTCAAATTATAAAAAAGAGTGGGGCAATCTTTTTAGCTTTTGTTAATAGTTTACAATATTACTTGTTTCTTATCATGGACAGTTTTTATAGTCAGGTGAGCGATATCTGGGCCATCATGGCCCTCTTGTTATATTCTAGGCAGATTTATATTTTATCCAAAACATTTTACAGTATCAACTGTTGGTCAATCACCAGTAATGGTGAAATATATGGTCAAATCGGCTCAAATGACAATGAAAAAGTGGGCAAAATGTCTCTTTAATGTGGTAGTGCCCATATGATTAAATTAAAAACCTTTTGAATTTGGAACAGTCTAGAATTTTCTCAAATTCTCTCTTTTCCTTACTTTAAAGTATAAAGGCCATATGTTTTAAGGGTAGGTCAATGTAATAGCGCACAGTGGTTATACCATTTCTTGCAGGTATATACAATTCAATCGGTTCTAAAAGTCTTGCACTTAACAAGCACCTGCTACCTATGATCACTGTACTTTTTTTGGAGCCTTTATATTTTAACTTGAACCTTACCTGCGAAAACAGTAAGTTACAGTAGCCTTGTTTATCCAGTGCGAGGCCCTTTCTGAATAAATGGCATTTACATGCTGGAAAAGAGGTAAGTATTTATGGTAAATGCTTCGCAATACAAAATGACTATAATTAGTTTGTACACGAGTACAAGTAATCAAGTATTAGCCTGAAGTTCAGTTTTTTTTGTCTGTCCTGAAAGCACTCTTTTGCTTTATACCAGTTATAATTATGCTAAATTCAGGTTTTTCAGGTTTTCTGATATTTTCAACTTGCACCCATACAAGTATGATATTTGATATCGAAGGGTTGATAGAACCAGAACCTGTTGAGAATAAATAACGTCAACTAGCTCCATTTTCCTCTTATTTTGATTACATATGTTTGTATGTTTTCAGGATCAGGAATATGACTGTTTGGCGTTTGATGACGAGGTATCTCAAAGTGTAATGTGTTCGTGCGTCAGAGACACTTGCTGTAAAAACTTTCCAGAGGATCATGGGATATCGGACGCGCTGAAGCGGTTACGGAAACACAGTAAGAAAAAGGAAAAGCGCATTAAGAAACCATCACAGCAAAGTATTCTTCAAAATGCAGCCGTTCAAACAGAAGAAGACATGTGTAAGATGGAAGTAGACTCTGATACAGGGGTGTCCGTCCAGCCCCAAATCGAGGTGCAAGAAACGGACACTTTAGAAAACATTAATGAGTCAAAAAGCTGTAGTAGTAAGAGTGACTCTGGTGAGGCGGACATTCGGTGCGATATGAGCTCATCTTCTATAAATTCACTGAATAGTAGTGACGTAACTCCTAGTGATCAACGAAGTAATAACGAAAATGGTAGTTCTCTTAAAGAATCTGACGGCGATGCGATGTCGAAAAAATCTGACTCTAGTTCAAGTGATAAACAATTATTATCATCGGAATCGGAGTCGGAATCCAAAAACAAATGTTCAGAGGATATTTTTGATAGGTTATTTGCATCTCTCGATATTTGTTTTCCACATTTACATAAAGACAATGTGCCATGGTTACTAGATGTAGAATTTAATGAAGAAGTTGAGATGAATTATACAATTGAACCCAAAGATAAAGAATCTGTGCTAAGGAGTGATTTAACTCAATTGGAATATTTAGACGAACCAGATATGGTGCGAGCTCAGCTGAACGCACTTATGGAGGAACTTGGTCAGGGTAATTTAGAACTTGTTTCTATTATGTCAAACGGAGAGACGAATATGGACCAGTCGGAACCAGCCTTGGTTGAAAGTGTTGATGGTATGAATGTGAATAATTAGGAAATATTTATCCCCATTCGATTGAGTAAATCTGGCATAGTCTAAAACTCTCTATGTTTTGAACAAAGTTGTCTCCAGAGGGGTTTTTTGCATACTTTTGCTATATATATTTTTTCATGAATTTTGTACTTAGATTTGATAATGCTTATAAAAAATTCTTTTATTTGTGTTCAACATGTGTGGAACATGTGACAATGCCTTACTTTTTTCAGTGGATTATTGTATTTTTTAACATTGTATAATACTGATTTATGTAGTTAATTATTAAATATTTTTAAGTCTTTCGCTGCGTATAAGATCTATGTGAACACTTGTCCCACTAACAGTATTATCGATTTGACAACTAAACCGATATACACATTATTGGAATTTGAAATAATTTGATTAACTTGTTTTCTTTTTATGGTATTTTATTTATTTTGCCTTTCAAGTTGGGGAAAAAAATCATTTTAGATTAACTGTGTTCATTTTCTTTCATATGAAATTTTTTTATACATGAAGTGAAAAAAAACAACTTAAAATAGTAAATTTCTGTAATTAATAGAAATGTCCAAAGCAATGTCTTATATTATACAATTAAAACTCTAGCAGTGAAATAGTTTGCTCAATTCAATTAATAATGATAACAAATGGTTGTGAATCTGATTTATTAAATTTTTATCTAATTTTCTTAAAGGGGAGTAACTCTATAACTTAATAATTTATTAATAAATTAACAAATGCGTAAGTTTTCTTCCATAGAATACTTGTTAAAATGGTGCTTATGTATTCATATTATTATAATAACAGGTATTTTGTAAAAGAAATTGTTACTTCTCATTGAAAACCAGGTTTTAATGGCATAATGATAGACAAACAATGTGCTCAGTGACCTTTGATCATGCTGAAAAATGTCGTATTTTTCATTTGTTATATTTTTCATTTGTTTTCTATCAAAGCAAGCACTTCACCATTCAGTTATATAATTTGAAAGATTCCAGTACATGTTTTCAGTATTTTGTGTATATTTGCTATTTGACTTTTATTCTGCTGGAAGTGAATGTGATTAGTCTTTGATATTATGAAAATAAACTACCCAAGTTTAAAGCCCAGGTGCTATGTTCAAATAGAATAGGATTAAGGTCAAAATTTATATTTCAAACTTTCCCACTGATTGCATTGAGCAATATACCCAAAGGCTGAATATTTAATGAATTAATTATGTTACAAAAGTGGTGAGTTTTATAAATACATGTATTCTATATATTAAATAATTTCTTATTATGTGGTTTAATTCTTATTTTAAGTCTTACCATGCTAAATTAAGGGTATACAGCTATATTCTAATGACATTTTTTTGCAAAATGAAAAACGTTATGTCATTTCCATAATCTTATGGTTGATTATTGAAGGAGTTAAAATGGAGAATTTTTCTGTGATTTAACACACATTTCTGTACATTAACTTAATAAATTGTTCCGAAACAAATATTGTACTGCTATTTTAAGTAGAATTTTAATTGTTTAGCGATGATTTTGCATATGACGTGCCATTTGCTCATAAGGAAATATATCAATATATTGCTTTCATATATACATTTAAGATTTTTTTTTTTTATAATTTTAAACAAAAATTTTGTAAACTGAAGATAACTGATACATAGAATTACGCAATTTAAATGGACTTGTCCATCTTTCAGTTGATCTTTCAAAAAAATCATTCATCATTTTTAGGGGAAAAGTTCAAAATATGTACAGACTGAATAGTGAACAGTGCAGACCACAACTGATGGCACAGAGATGCTGGCTGATCATGGTCTGCACTGGTTGCACCGGTAATTTGAGTCTTTCCAAGCAGACTGAAGATTAAACTAATAGCTAATTCTAATGTACTAAAAATTGTATTGGAATTTCAAAATTATTATAATTATAAATGGCACGTTATGTCTCAGAAACAAATAACTTTTATTTCTTTAGAAAGGGCAGGCACAAGTTTTGTAATGCTTATAACCTAAAGAAAGTAGTGCTGAACATAACATTATTTGTCATAAAAGTATTAAAATGTAAACAAAGAAGTATTTTGACTTCCACACAAAATACCAAATCAGTATAACTTTATGAATTGCTAAAAAGCAATAGGAGCAAAGATGGTGCATGTAATTGGCCAGTAAGTTAACCCCCAAAGGGCAGCATATGAAAATCGCAACATCTGTCTGTCTATCCGTCCCAACTTACACAATATTCGTGTGTGGACTGTAGCTTTGTCATGCATTGAAGGATGCACAAATGTCTATTACATCATGATGATGTGTCACGTCTTATACCCATGTCATACCTTAAAGGTCAAGGTCATACTTAAAGTTTGCGGGTTTTAATTCTCACAATTAGAGTTCACACAATTGTGTCCAGACTATGCATAGAAGGATTTTTAAATAACCTAGCATATATGTCTACCAAATCAATTATGTGTCACTCCAGACTCATGTTCCTACCTCCAAGGTCAAGGTCGCGCTTGTTTGAAGGTACATGTACTTATTCTCAAAAGAAGAATTTGAAGTGACACATTCAAATATGTAGTGTAACTTTGTTATGCTTTGAATGATTTCAAAATAACATGGTACAAATGTCTACCACACCAAGACGATGTGTCATGGTTAAGGCCCATGTCACTTCCTAAAAGGTCAAGGTCACACTTAGAGATTGGAGGTAGACATTCATGTCCGGACTGTAACTTTATCATGCATTGAAGGATTTTAAAATAACATGGCTTAAATGTCTACCACATCAAGACATTTTGTTGTGCCCTAGGCCCATGTCCCTATCTCCAAGGTCATGGTTACACAGTTTGAAGGTGCTCATTTTCACAGGAAATTGTCACACTATTTAGTCACTTGTGAAAAAAAACAACAACAAAAAACATGGAACAGGAAACATGAAATGCAGAAGATATCTTCAAGTTAACAACTACTTCACAGATCAAACTGTTCTGTTCGGGCTTTGTACAGGAAATTATAGGCTCATTGCTCTTATTCATGAAAACTTAAGGCTGTCCCCAACCTTGAAATGCTTGCGTGATTTGTTACACCAGAGAAATAAGTTCAAATTATGTCCCCAGCATGATAGGTTAAATTATATGTATGGGCAGGCTATATACCGCCTTTTGAAAATAATTTTGTTATGTGGTTTGCTATGAACAATATTAAGCAACTTTTTTTCTCTTCTTTTCATAAAACCTTTCTACAATACTTATGAAACCTTTTGGGGGGCAGTTGTCACTTTTGCCTGACAGCTCTTGTTGGAAACTATAACGGGTCAAAAATTATTTTTTTTTTTAGCTTTTTAGAAAAAAGATTAAAAGTATATCTGAGGCATAATGGGCCTTTAATTCTTATGTAACTAAACGGGTTTTTAACAATAATTAAATGCACAAATGAGCCGCATCACAACAAAACCAACATAATGGGTTTGCGACCAGCATGGATCCAGACCAGCCTGCGCATCCACACATCTGATCAGGATCCATCCTGTTCGCTAACCAACTCTATAACAAGTGGAGAAACTGACAGCGAACAGCATGGATCCTGATCAGACTGCGCGGATGCGCAAGGCTAGTCTTGATCCATGCTGGTCGCAAACGCACAATGTTGGTTTTGTCATGACGCGGCTCAAATGTCATTTAACCTGGTATTGGTATTATTAGTGTATGAACCACATGTATATGATTTTTATCTCGATTTGTTCCTTTGGAAATTGGAATGTTCATTTAAAGAATTTAGAATTTAGCAATGCTTGTTATAGCACTTTATAAAATAATCTTTAACTAATGGGGATTTGGATATACTTCCAGATTTTTTTTTTTTTAAGTTGTTGATTTTATGTATTTGTTGGATATTTTAAAATATTGCAATGTAAAAGGGAAAGTTTGGGGTGCTTTTTTACTAAAGATAAAAAATTTCAGTTATTTTCCTACAGTATTTAAAAAAGTTTGTCTGTTAAGTCAGAAATCAGAAAAAATGGTGGTATATTTATATATTGTTGTGGCCAGTACCTTTCATCATAAGAAACATATCAGTATTGTTAAACCTGTAAGATGCTGAAAAACTTCAAATTTTATTATCTTATAATTTTATATCCCCAAAGTGATAATGGACAGTTCTATAAATGGAAGGTGGACAAGTCTATTTAAGAAATTCAGCAGATTAAGGGTTAATTTTTATGTAATGTAAACATGTATAATTTTAGAATAGGGCGAGTCCACTATTTAAATTTAATGTTAAAGGGACTCCACTGAGGTTTATGACATAAGAGAATTAGATTTTTTTTTTTCCAAGTATTGTGTACCATTTGATGTAGGTTTCACCAATAACTTGTGTGCAAGTGTAAGGATCATTTGCTCACCCAGTTTTTTCAGAATCATCTTTTAATTGTGCAAAATGATGCACAAATATAAATCAACACTTTTCAATCAAGTCCTGCACAAAATGTTGATATTGAATTTAATTCTAAGCATATTTCTTTTTAGAATTTTCCAAATTAAATGCTTCACTTGATCTATTTAAAAATTTCAAATTTGTATTTATTTAGGCTTTTTTTGACCTCGGTCGAGTCCCTTTAAACAATTTAATAGTGATTTTAAACGAGAAAGATTTCAGGAGAGTTATGTCATAACTGAATTATGATCTCATCAAAAGTGACTCATTATTGATGACATTTTAAAAACTGGTGTGATTAGTATAGAATCTGCATTCCATCTATCTTGATACACCATGTAAATATTTATAAATATGTTTTTATCATTTTTTTCAAGATCATCATTTTAGTTCTGGTTATTTATTGTAATTTTGCCAAGATGTCATGAACGTGGTTCTGTTGTACCAGAATTATTTATTTTTTTGTATTTTGTTGTTGCAATTTGTTTATAATTATATTTCATATCACATTGAACAAGGGGCTTTCAAAAAAATACCCTAAAATGTTTCATTTGTGCAACCTTTGCATATGAATAAAGTATGTGAATGAAAAATAATTGTTGTTTTTGTTTTTTGATACCCTATATGGATTTTTATAAAACTGCATGTTTGTAACGTCGCTTTTCATTGGATAATCGTGACGTTTATACAGTTTTATATAAAGCAGTTCGCGTTTTATTTCCAAACAACAGTTTATATAGGGCCTGTGAAAAATCTTTATAACTAATGATGTATTCTAGTATTGATATGGAAACCTGCAATTGTCGAGATTGGTTGATAAACATTGTACATGTAGTTTGATAAACAAAAAAGATGAGAAAAAATGTTACACCGTTGTGAGCAGAGGCTTTTCCACATTTGTCTTTACATGCATGGAGGTATTGAAGTTTGAATTCGACGTATTGTGCTTGAACTAGGTCTGTGGGTCAAAATTCAAGGTCAAAACTAGAGGTCATGAGAAACTATTATCCTCAGCATATCTGCGCATGTGCAAAATACAGGACACTCTGGGCGTATTTTATGACAATGGGACCCTTTAAGTTAAGTTATATTTCTCAAAAACGAAAAACAAAATATTTGAACTTTAAATTTTGATCACCATTAAAATTGGATTGCATTCCAAAACAATGTCAATTTTTCATAATAGTTTCCTTGTTTTAACTTTCTTGTTTTCAAAACCCCCAAAATATATTCTTATTTGCCCGCTATCAAGGGCATGTTTGCCTGCCAAACAGTTTTGCAGAATTATTCACCCTTTTCTAGCTACTCTGGTGGAGCGTAGGTGTGCGTGTGCGGACAGGCCTTGTTATAATTGGGGTATACCTGTATAATTCCTAAAAACCCAAGAGTGGATACTGAATACATTTTACTTAACAGTCAAGACCGAAATAACATAACTTTTAGAAGCCATACTCTATCAATATATATTTGTTGAATAGATAAATCATCGCTGCCGACAGGCGGTAAACAACCAATTGTCACATGTATCGATTACTCACTGCTTTTGCAAAAGAAAGTGTGCACATGGTAACACGGAAATTTTGTATACTTATTTAAGAAAATTTTGAATTTGGCTTGTTTTGTATCAAAATTTGCATACACGATTTTTACATTAATATATAAGAGTTTTGATAATTATCTGATTTTTGGTTATCTGTAAATCGATATAAATACGAGTTGCAAAATTGAGCTTTATTGAAATGCGTGTGTGCCTTTGGAACATCATTCAAACCCATGTGACGTTACGTCAGTTCTAGGTAGTCTCATACGAGATGGACTCCCCAGATATTTATTAACTGTCACACAAGTTCCCCACTCCGCTGTTTATTCTGATTTCAATACAAAATAAACCGTTTTGTTATCAATACATACCAAATTTGCCAGCATTTTACACAAGTAAGATTAGAATTTCAAAGTAATTTTCTTTGCAACTGGGTATATTCATAACTGGAGCTATTGTAAATACATGTATATATTTCTATTGAAGAAAACTAATTTGTAAAGACTTTATTTTTCTCATAAATAAATACATTTAAGCTGAAGAGTAGGTATTCCACTCACCCGGGCGTCATCAAAACACTTACAGTTTTGCGCCCAACTTCTTGTACAACTTTGTATCACAACACCCATTTGTTAGTAACTTTATAGTCACTTTATATAATTCTTTCACGATAATTTGCCGCCGGCCCACATGGCGGATGGCGGCATTGCGGGGGATAGTTTCCGGTACTTATTGCGCGGTATGTGTGTATGTGCTTTTTGTTTTTTTGTGTCTTAGTTTTTTTTATTTTTTTTTTTAAAGCAGAGGATTGAGTTGTAGCTTTTTTATTGTAAACGATTTTGAAATTAAAATTAGCTTGGGCATTAGTTCGATTACCTTTGGTTTAAATGGATCTTTCAACTTTTAGATGTTTTTCGATACAATTCAAAAGAAGTGGACATAAAAACATATTATATCCTACTTTTATAACTACACGATTTTATGGTAAGGACATAAGGTCATTGACCTCAGCTCATTTAAAAAAAGCCAACTTAAAAAAGCTATGTACATCTACATAATGATTGTGGTTTGAAAATCTTAAGGTCACTGTCCAATGCCCGTTGTACAACACCGACATAGATTTTGACTGAATCATGACCCTTTGTGAACTTAGACATCTCCATTCAACACGGTCGATTCATTGTCACCCCCAACCCCCCCCTCCCCCCCCAAAAAAAATAAATAAATAAAAATAATAAAAAAAAAATAAATAAAAAAATAAACTGTTAAAGTTATGATCTAGAAACTAAGAGCATATTTTTATAATTGCAGGTCACTGTCCAAGGTCACTTTTTCGTTATTTTTTTCATGAATTTCGAAGTAATACTTCTCGTATACTATCAAACATAGTCGAGCACGTTGTCCAGCCGACAGCTCTTGTTGTAAATGCGATATCTTATGAGTCGTTACTTCGCGATAATGATACTATTTATAACGTTTAGCAACAATCTTGTGACGTGAGAAAAAAATAAATGAGCCGCGTCATGACAAAACCAACATAATGGGTTTGCGACCAGCATGGATTGCGCATCCGCGCAGTCTGATCAGGATCCATGCTGTTCGCTATCAGTTTCTCTACTTGTAATAGAGTTGGTAAGCGTTGGTCAGCATTGATCCTGATCAGACTGCGCAGATGCGCAGGCTGGCCGGATCCATGCTGGTCGCCAACACACTATGTTGGTTTTGTCGTGACGCGGCTCAAATGCTTCATATCACATGAACTGCATAAGATGTCACCGTCACAAAATATAGACATTTTTGTTTTATATGATTTTGTAACACAATGGGTAGAATATTTGATCATTTTCATTCCCGTGGGTTATCGCAGATCAAAGTCATTTATAAATATTGTTGCTGTAAATTTTCTCTTTCCGCACATACAATAAATTGACAAATATTGCCCCATAAACTCATGTGATTTTTTTAAATCTCTATATCTTAATGTCGTTCGTTTACTAAATTCAAGGGAGCTAAAAACTCAACGGAATCTGTAGTATGACTTTTCAGTCAATGCGCGGTCTTTTTCCCTGACTATCCTTGAAAATCGATGAAATCCAATATGAGGCCTTGTATTTCTTTTTATGCGGTTTGATTGTTTAGATAAACGATTTATACAGTTCGAGTCGTTAAAAGATGTTAAATTTGGTTGATGATAAAAAATATAATAACAATCTTAGTCATGTGTAATTTGTGATATGTTTCGTTTTGTTTTGTTTTCATTGCATTCACTGACATTCATATAATTTGTATTGTATTGTATTTATTGTATGGTTGTATTGTATTGTATTGTGTATTGCATTGTATTGTATTCCTCAACCAATGAACCTCCAGTATTGGAACCACGTGATTTTCATACAGAAATCATTATTGTATCAAATCTCACCAATTTATCCTTTTTTCCATTTCCAGAGTCGAAACAAGTATATCAAATGCATATCCCATATAGACTCTTTTTCATTTTTCAGAGTCCATAAATGTATATCATATGTATATCGTGCTCAATCTTACCTCGAGTCCAAAAATTCATATCAAATATATATTGTATTTGAAGTAAAATTAAGGTTCTTTCAAAAATGTTAATCAAATGGTGGTGTGAAATGAAACCAGTCAATATAGATTGTTGAGAACAATCCTGACTAATGGGCTCATACACAGCTGTAAAGTCTAGACCAGACTCGGATAGCGCCTCTTCCAATATAGGATTGACAGCTGGATACTCATCCAATATAATTCAATATTGCACTCAAGAATGTACAATAACAGCACAATATTGTATTGCAATGCATTGCATTGCTATATGAAATTGTATTTATTGTATTGTAACATTTACGGTATTCATTGGTATCATTTTAATGAATTGACCCGTTAATAACTGTATATGAATTTATTAACATTTTCTATAATTTGACCTTTTACAAAGGCAAAGAATGACAATTTAAACTAGCGGTTTGAATTTCCTTAAATGTTGCATGATTTAAGAAAATTATGATAGAAACAAATTGATGAAAAGAAAATTGGGTGTCAACGTCCTACTTTTTTGGAGTTATTTGCCCTTGAATGTGAGTAATTGACTGTAAAGTCATTTGCAAGGGTAGATAACTCAAAAGTGTGGCAAGCAACACAAAAACCGATTTTGTGATTTTTTTATGTTCTATCATAGTGCAAAAACATTGCTGAAATAGTATGCGACAGATTTTATTCTACAGATACTTATGGTGAATGATGTACATTTTCTTTGAGTTATGCCCCTTTTTATTTGAAGAAAAATGCAATATGTTGACACATTGAAGCATAGCAAATTATATTTCTGATATAATTATTTAACCTTTGCATAAAAACTGAAAATAAAGCAATTTATTGACTTTAAATAAAATAAAATAAAGTATTGGTATGCTTGATTTTGAATTATCTGCCCGAAACTGCCCGAAAAGCATAAAACACTCATAATCAGGGGCAGATAACTCACCCAGTAAGATGATTACATTTTATATAAATCATGATTTTTCAATCACGCTTCTCTTTTATCATGCCAAATTTGAGAAAAATATCACCACTTGTTTAAATTTTCCATCTTTGCCTTTGTAAAGAGTTACTAAAAATTTCATTTATGGGTCTAATACCATAAACAGTGACAAAAGGAAAGGCACTTAATGCTGCGCAATATGTTCCATTTCAATTCACAGTTAAACGTAAATATTGGTTTTAAATGTAAACTTTCATTTGAATAACAACAAACGTTAAAGCAAATACATTTTTATCAAGTTATGTTTCTAAAAAGATATAGAATCATAAAAATATCAGCATATTTAACGTTTTTAAACAATCTTTAAACAAAAGAAAGGTTTCGTTTGGACCACCCACCGATTATTCATAATTATTTACCGAAGTTTGGCGGAAAGGGGCCGAAATGTTGCAGATTTAAATTTACGAAACCTACTTTATCATTAGGTTAAAACAAACAATAACCAGATTTCAATTAGCCAACAAATATTTCTTGCGTTTTTGCATAAAAAAGTCGGATGTCTCTACTCTGGAAGGTCCAAAAGGTAATTTGAAAAAAAGGTAAACTATTTGCGGTTTCATTCCTGCTTCTTCAGTTTTTATAGCATGACAACTCAATATCAATTTTTGCTGGCCTAATGTATTCATACGACCATACATTTTTTAAATGATAAAGAGCAACAATCGTCACGGCCAACGATCTTTAAATAGTGTGAGTTTAAAAAAGAAGATTATTTTCTAATACATTCTTTTCAGTAAGCATTGCAAAAAAGACGAATTGAGAATGGCTCGCATTTACGAAACAAGTTATGTAAGGGTTGAAGATAACGACAAAGAAGTACGTTTTAAAAACATAATTGAATGCATTAAAGAATATTCTTCTACGAAATCGGACATAGACGCTTTCATTTTCGTCTCAACAGATGGAGACAGGCAAAGTGTAACATGGCAAGCTCTGTACGAGAGATCGTGTGCAGCGGCAAGAGCAATTTTACGGCTCGGTGTAAAAAGAAAGGAAATAGTTGCAGCAAACCTTCGTTCGTGTCCTGAATGGCTGTATGCCACATTCGGATCTATGATTGCAGGCGCCATTCCGATGAGTATCACATTTACATACTCAGATGGAAGCGACCTAGTAGCGACCATGGAAAAACTACAATGCTGCTCGCTGTTGATAATGGACCCTGGATTTGACAACGTTAATTGGAACATTTTGCAAAAGCTACTCGAATACCACGATGTCACAGGCGCAGTGAAATCGACAAAATTACCTTATCTTCGATATCTACTCGGTGTTGGTTTTGAAAATGCGTCTGGCGACGTTAGAGACTTCAGAGGTTCGTTTCTTGATGATACATCGATTGATGTAAATTTTGCTAATATAGAATCAGATGATGTTGCGACATTCCTACAAACGTCCGGGAGTACGGGAATACCGAAGCTTGTTGTACATACACACGGGACTCTGTTATCTGCAAGTGGCACGAATCTCATAGCCTTTGATTCAAATCACAAAATATTCAATGATAGACCATTTATTTGGATCGGAGGATATCCGTTCTCAGTTATGACCGGTCAAACACGAGTAACAGTATCAGGATTTTGTGATGCACCGAAAAATCGAGTCGCTTTTATGAAGGATGTTATACTAAAAGAGAGATGCACTTTAACTGTTGGTTTACCACCACTAATGGCGGAGCTAAAAAGATCACAGGTAAACATCTTATTACATGTATTAATTACAGCCTTTTGTTATGATTTAGATGCAGAATTTTTATAATTACTATTTTTTTTCAAATATTGTGAAAAATATCAAAGCGAGTTTTGAAATACAAATTAAATTTGTTCAAAGAATGTGTGTGTGTGTTTGCGTTTGTTTACCCTCGCCACCGGAAAGAGACCATATATGGGCGAGCATATACTTCATTTATAACCCTTATTGTTATATCCGTACATGTGTTATGTTCTATTTTTAACTAGGATGATCTGCCTTCCGATTGGCCAATAAAGGGAATATTGACTGGAGGTCAGCCAATGACAAAATGTCTAGCAAGCTGCATTGGAAAAGCTGGCAAGTTTCTTTGCTGCATTTATGGGTCGTCTGAAGTGGTATTCCTTACCCAGTTTTTGGTTGAAAATGAGACAGACTTAACAGAATATGCGTGTGGCACGGCCTTAAAACTGAAAGGACTTGAAATGAAAATTGTTGACGAAAATGGCCAGACGTTACCAGTAAACACACGCGGAGAGATATATGTTAAAACTCCAGGTATGTTTAAGGGGTATTTGAATGACCCAGAGAAAACAAAAGCTGTCATGACACCGGACGGTTGGTATAAATCGGATGATATTGGACGAATTACCGAGAACGGACTATTTTTCGTAGAGGGACGAAAATCGAACATGATCATATCTGGGGGACTCAACGTTGCCCCTGAAATATTAGAGCAAGTTATAAAGACATTTCCAGGTGTTGAAACAGCTGTCATCGTTCCTGTACCAGACGCCATTTACTACCAGGTCGTGTGCGCATGCGTAGTGAGGAAACCCGGAAGTGATCTTACTGAAGAGATGCTGCGAAAAGTTTGCGAGGACTTCCATGCTGATAAACCAGGGCTTTTCACTGTTCTTCCAAAGTTCTACATGTTCATAGATAAACTTCCAGAGACTAATACCGGAAAAATTGACAGGCGAGCAATCATAAAAATCGCATGTGACAAATTTAAATGATATTTTATATACCTGCTCCATACTCCAAATTATTTACATTTGTAGTCATACAGATTTACTATTTGTTCCAGTGTACTGGTTTTATGTGCACAAATATCGCCTATTTACTTCCTTACGTATTGTTGTACAGTATATTGTATCTTAAATAAATATGAATACATTTTTCTCATGTAAGAAAGTCTAGAATGACGTACAGGACTTGTTCAATCACCATTTCTCAATTTTACTATATAATACAGTAAAGTATATCCGGCACACCAATTCTACCAAATTTGAATGACATCTATAATTATAAAAGTATGGTTTGTAAACACGTATGAACAAGCATCTTGCATTTAATCCTTGTAAAAGAAATTATTTTAAAATGTTACTGGTTAAAATTAATATTATTTTGCTTCTTTTTTTGAAATTTAATTAAGGCTTCAATAAACGACGATATAGTGACGTACATTTATCTTTAGCCAGTTTTGCTGACATTTGAATCTTGAAGTCCCTTAAAAAAATAGACAAGGACTACGGGAATGGGGATTCAGTTCCTTAAGCCCCGCCCCCATCCGGTTGATCCGTGCCTGAAATATGATAAGCATGCAACAAATGGCGGTTTAAACCACAATGGTTCACCTAAATTCGCTTTACCTTTGTACTTTATCATTCAAAAGTAGTACACAAACATAGTATCACATGTCCTTAACCTCTTTATTGGCGACGGTGTTTTCGTTCGAAATTTACATTTTAAAATATCAAATTTCCTTTGTATACCAATGAGAAGAAAAAGAAAAAGAAACGCAACTTTTTACGGTATCCACTAGTATAATGAAATAATTATTGAACTTTAATGATTTTGTGCTAACACCTCAGCAAGCGACCTGGTTAATATTATGTATATTAGCACTCAACAACTGCCGTGCATCGCCTCTCCGCTCTTAGAAGGTAAAAAAAAAACTGATTCATTATTTATTGTAACAAAAGTTGGAGTATCTTGAATTTAAATCACGTGAAAAGTTGGTCCCAAAGACAGATATTTATACGATCGAAAGGATGTTTAATGCTATATCCGTATGTCCGTCTGTCAGACTTACCGTCCGACTTTCCGTCTGTTTAAATATCAGCTTGCAAGATTCGTGTCTAATACATGTATATATCTTTTGAATAGATCTTGACTGGTACTCGGTTCAAAGAATTATCTGATTAATGCCATATTTTTGATCGGCAAAGGTCATTGTTCAATGTCAAATACATGTATTTGAGTCACTCAGCTTTACATTCACCGATCCTTTTTAAGGATAAAGACACTTAAAGCTGCATGCTTCCAGATGAGCCTAAATATTTCAAGAAATTCAATATTGAGAAAAATGTACTACTAAGATTTTGAGAAATTATCTTAAAGTAAAAAGATTCAAGATTTAAGAGAAAATGAACATGCTATGTGCGATTCATTACAAAATTCGCAGTACAAGAATATATTTTTTATATAACCATATATCTGCTGCTTTTCTAATGCATTAAGATCTATTTTTCTATATTTTGACCTATTTTTGGTAATTAACATTGATTGATCGTAAATTACTTTCTTTGTTACCTTTACAATATTTTACTTTTAAATGCATATTTTTTTCATTTATCTTTTTTATGAAAATTAGCATGGATCTGGAGACATGCTGCTTTAAACATTTACGAATTTATAATAGAGAGTAAAATTTAATATTCTTAACCCGATTGAAAATATTCAAAGAATGTTGTTAATATAATTGAATGTAGATTTTATATGTAAAAGAAAGAGCATCGAAACACGAGGCTATCTGATTTGTACGAGTGGGCGTAGCCCCCGAGTATTAATCAGATTGCCGAGTGTTTCTTTTGTATCATAGTCAAACATTAAGACACGTTCCCCGTTGTCACAATATGAAACCCCGGGAAAAAGTAACCGATGAACGAGTGTCTAAATACGATATTTCTGTCGCTTCCTCTTTCTCTTCCGTCACAATAAGTAAACCCCAGCAAAAAATGAGCCAATCAATGGGCATGCTCTGGAGGGCGGGTAACTAATACCTGCACTCCAGTTAACGCACTGCGCATGTATATGTATACGATTTAACTCTGACACATTTTGAACAGAAAGGTCCCTAAACTATGATACAATTTTGATTTAACAGACAGAAGAAGTTGAATTACAAAGTTTATTTTTAAAACATATTTTTTTATTAAAGAGACGAAAAAATAGACTGCATACTGATTATGTTTTGCTATTGTTCGTTTTATTTATGTATTTAATTGTTTGCCTTATAATACACCGATTTTATCATTTATATTTTATTAAAAATTTTGTTCAAATATGTTTTATCATTTTATTTTTAAATATATATTATGTTTAATTTTCTATTTTAAGTTGTAAAGCTACATTTTATTTTCAATGCTGTTGAAAATACAGTTACTTGAACCAACACTCGACTTTAAAACGCCATTTGCTGCCATTGCAATTACCTAACACACTTTGAATAAAATCTGACGAGTCAAAGGGAAACTGTTGAAGCTGCCATAGGCAGTATCATCTCCTACAATACACAAGGACATTAATGAAATTTTAGACAAACGTTGACGCGTGTATAGCTCCAAATTTACTTTTCGAGCTAGTTTTTTCCTATCAATACCAGGTCAGATATATTTAGATTATAACACACATTTTACGACGGAGTCATGCACCATTTTTCTACCGCCAATTGACAGAACAGGAAAATCAAAGTGCTGAAAGCACTGGGTTATTCAACACTGGGTGCGACAGGTCAGAAAAGGGAATTGTGTGAACGCTGTCACAAAGGGTCATAATCTGTCAAAATCCGTGTCCAAAATCCATGAGGTAAGGGTTTTGGAAAATGACTTCTAAATATGGTCACGATGACATGTCTTTCAAAGGGCCATAATCTGTAAAATTCCATGTCAGAGTTTAAATATGGGCCTTGGATCGTGTCCTCCATTTATGATCCCAAGACATGTATTACGTATAAAGTGAATACCTTCAGTCGTTTTGAAAACTGATCTTGCATGTTAAAATTTAGATATAAATGTCTACATCCCCGCGAGGGGTTTGCCATTAATAGGAGATAGATAGATAGAAATTGTTCGCAAAACTGTAACCAAGAAGAACTTTACAAAGGGCTATATACAGTCTAAGTCTATTTCAGATTCGTCGGTCTCAGTTACATGACAACCCTCAATCTTGGTTCCGAATGCATATATATGGCTCCAAGTAAATACCTTCAGTTTGTCTGTACATTGATGTTACGTAAGAAATTTCCAAGTTCAGAAAGGGTTATTTATCGGTCACAATGTCAGAGTTATGGTCCTTGGATATTAACCTCTTAATTATTACCACGACAACATGCATCAAGATTCAAGTAAAACCTTCAGTACCTTGACAGATTGGCGTTGCCCACGAAATTCGTAACCAAAATACCTGAAGATAATGATTGTAATGGTATAAATAATACGGAAAGGCCCTTAAAAATCCTCAATGGATGTTGTTAAATGATTTTGAGACATTATTTACTAAAATGGAAGTTCGAAAATGGCAAAATTTGAAATATTGCAGGCTCGGTTTGATTGAGCCTGTTCATGTGCGGTAGTGGAAAATAAGCTCCCGCTTAAGCAAGAATTTAATTAAAACATGGAATTGCTTAAACTGTAAATTCAAAACATCCGCTCGTGTATTTTTACGGCGGTTATCAAGGAACTTTTAATGCAAGTTGAAAAGCGGCGTGTAAAATGCTTCAAGAGAAAATAAATCTATAGACACTTAAAAGTCCTCATTTGTGTTGACAATGGGAAAGTTTGTGTAGTCAGATAATGAGGTTATTATACATTCTGAAGAATCCTACTTGACGAGTACACAGCTGTAAAAACCAATTAGAACATTTGAAAAGAAAACAAACTGTAAATGTAAAACCCGGGAAAATATTTTTCCCAATGAAAAATAGCGCTGTCGATTGTTTTTTATAGATACTTTTATATTTTGATTGCATTCTAAGATATAATTCTATATTACAAGCCTCATTTCTATTGTCAACTATTATTCAAGCTGCATGTGTCCAGATGAGAAAAAATATTTCAAGAAAATGAAATTTGAGAAAATTGTACGATTTTAAGAAAAGTTAAGGATTGAACATACACGTTATATTTTACATGATATGTCGATTAAAACTGACTTGCAGTATTTATCAACACATTTCTAACAAAATAAGGGATACTTTTGCATATTTTGACATATTCTTGGTCTTTTACGTGGATTGTAAGCGTAGATTAAATACTTTCATTGTTCACTTCAAAATATTTACTTTTTAAGTACATTTTCTAATTTCTCATGACTTAACCCCCCACCCCCGCCAAAAAAAACCCAAACCCCCAAAAACATTTAAATGCTGCTTTAAAAAAACAAACAACCCGGACGAATATATTTCTTATCTTATGGATTTTTGTAATGAGACAGGACCTTTAAAGCATATTAACTTTTACCCTACTTTTTCGGCTAATGAGAGGGCAGCCGTGGTTTGGTCTAAATTTGAAACTTTCTGATAGTTTCTTTCACGTAGTTACTATTAAAGGCACATTAAGACATAAAGACCTCATAAATACTTTCATTTTCATTCCTCAAAAACTTATTACATTTGTATTTAGGTACCTTGTTACAGTTTCCAAACACTCATTGGCCATTTATACTCCTTTTGCTCTTTGCTTTTGTATTTGTTTTAATTAGTGATTTAGTTCTTTGTATGGAACTCAAAATACTACATTTTTACATTGTGCTTCCCTACCGACACATAAATGCCCATTCAATGCTACTGTCATCACTTGTTTAACATTTCAAATGATCTAAATCCGTCACTAACACATTTTTAAAAACAAGTTTGACTAAAAATAATCATTGATTTCAGAGGCATAATGTGCCTTTAATTATAAAAAATCCAGTGTCGAATAAATAGGTCAAACAAAAACTAATTTGATATTAAAAATATATAAAACGTGCGAACGTGATCTGTCTTAAATTTGGATAATGGCATAAATAATTTGTCAAACAAACGATTAAGATGAATTATAATGAAATAACAATATACATTATACATAATGTAGTTTCAAGTTTAGTTTTAATGTTTTAACCAAGGCCAATGAT